GGTCCAAATGTTTGCTCGCCTACTCTTTTTTTCTTGTCGCTTCCTCAACGAATGCACAACAACGAACAGAGTAGATTGTATATTTGCAGAAGAACGATTAGAGTAGAGTATCTATACAATCCAAACATTTTTCGCTTTATCGTGTGCTCGCGTTTGGACAGAACTCTCTGCAGACTTCAAGTTTTGTACATATTGCGAAAAAACCGTTTCCAAACGCAACTTTATGTTGATATTGGCGGAGTGGTTATGGAGCCCAATGGTCTAGTATTTAAGCTCATTTGACCCCAGAACAACGCTATAATCCACCTTTCTGGTCGAGACCAACTCCCAGAGCATAAGATATTTTTAAAGAATCTGTGCTTTTAACTATATTATTCTATTGTTTTCGCTGTCTTTTGAGCAAAGATTGTTTTATCACAGCGGCTCTTTCCGCATCCCGCTGTTGTAAAACCGTATTAAAGGATCATTGAATAGATCACCGACTTAGAAAAGTAGATAAGGACTTTTTTGGCATTTTGATCCCCCCATGAAGTCACCGACAGATTTTCATAGCTGGCAGAGAAAATTAATAGATGTGCCTCGTCCATCAAAGAGCCAACCAGCGCCCACCTAGGCAAACTTATCACATTCTATCCTTCTAGAATATTTTAGCTTATCGCAAAGCTGAAACAGTCTATTCGATTCAAATAGGCAATTACTCAGTTCCGGTAGCAGCACTTTTCACGAAAATCTGCTGAAAAAATAATGTGTATCGTTAGTCGTCTCATTTTTGAAAATGTAACTTTTCGCGCTCTTTGCAAATTAGCTTCTTTGTAATTTTTTAAGAAAGAAATTTTTTTCATTGTATGTATATCTTGTTGACCTTCTAATATATACTCATTGCAGAGAAAAAAAATCGAAAACGGCCATTCAGATTTTAATCTTATGATCTTTTTTTATGTTAGACCCCAAAAATCTGAAACGTTGCAGTAAGATTTGCGATCGTCGGTACATAAGTAATTTTTATGACCTACTTTTTGCAACTGAAAGAAATTTGCCTTTGTTCGTTTCTGGAGAAATTACGCTTTCCCAGAAAAGTGTAATTTCGCGTTTTTGTTGTGAACTCGAGATTCATTCTTCTCAACAGAAACTTTTGAACAGCACAAACTTTTCTCGGTTGCAAAAAGAAGTTCATAAAAATTATGTACTAACAACTTCAAGCTTCTTCCTCCTGATAAAATTGGAAAAAGCAAATCCGTCGAGATAGCAAAGAGTTACAAACTTCCAGGAACATAGAACTTTCGGGACAGTATGATAGTAGGAGTCGCGGTTCTAGATATCTTTTCTGTAAGGTTGCCAGCAGACGCTGCATATTTATTATTATTAGTGGTTTTACAAATGCTACAAACTTATAAGGAAATAGCAGAGAAGATCTTACTTTGTACGATGTTATACAACATTGAAACAAGAATGCGAACAAATTCAAAAATCCATGTGCAAGTAATACAGAACTTTCGGGACAACCTAGTATCAGGTGAAATTCGTACAAACACAGCTTGTAGATTCTTGGCCATGACTCATAAAAATCTGAAAATTGAAAAAATACTTGACTTCATATGCTCTCAGACTCTTTGTTGGACTGTTTCAGCAAAAATAGGAGTCATCATGCAGTTCAGACTTCCATGAGTGATTTAGCATAATATTCTAATTCGCAAAGATAACGCATACAAATGATTTTAAATTTATTCCGTTTGAAACACCGTCTGCGGTCTGGAAGAAAGATTACGAATAAATCTATTATTTGAAGAATATGGAGTTTCACTAGTTTAGCATGATAGTTCCAGGCAGAGCTACGTCCATTATCTGAAATTTAGCGGCTTTGCTGTTCAAACTAACAAGCTGATTTTGAAATCTCGGACGTTTGACCATTCTAGTTTACTTAGGAAACTTCTCTTCCGTTATCAGTGCTATTTCAACCAACGGAGACCAGCGTCCAAACGCTATCAGCAAATTGCTGAAGTGAATGCGTGATTTACTCGTGAAAAAGTCTCTTGAGTCTTCTTGACTAAACGAAAGTCTTTACAGTATCCTTACAGTATCCTATACACTTTCAAAAGTCCAGGAAGTACTCAGACATTTGAACGTTTCTGTCCAAACAAATGTATTTTTTCTCTTATGTCAGTTTTTGTTTCAAGTCTCTGATGTCATACCTATTTCTAAACTCGCTTCGAATTTTGTTTCTTTCAACGAAGTTGGTTATGAAATAAGCGTGGCTTTGATTCCTTTCTCACTGATCTTAGCTTTGTTCAATATTTGCTGAACCCTATGATTAAGTTTTTCTCAAAAAATGTCCCTTCGCAGCAATGGTGCGCTGACTAAATTGTCTCTGTTTTTTTTTGTTGCATAACTGACGGTCAATATGTTCGCATGTTGAGTTGTATTCAATATTCAGCTCTAAGGGGCAAAGTCCGCATTGCCCATGTGCCGGCGCCGTGCCAGCGCCGTGCCAGAACCTGGAGCCCCCCACAAATCGATCTTTTCGGCGGCAGCTGGCATGACGCTGGCACGGCGCTATCACATGCTACTCTGAATGCAGTTCCGCACACAGCAAAGAATGGTGAGCAACAGCTGAGGATCCCGTGGGCGGAGGGGAGGGGGACTCCGCAATCAGTACGGATCGCTATACTCTGAAAGTGCTTACACGGATCAAAATCTGCAAATAATTGAGTCATTTTAAAAAACTTCTCAAGAATTCAAATTAGCCAAAATAATTTTGGGAGTGGCTGCGCCGTCTTTTGCAAAACTTGTAAGTTGTATGCCCACAAGACTTTTGGGAAGCGTCCCAAAGACTTTTTAAAGGGCATGGCTAATTCAGAAAATTGCTCGAATTGATGCTGGTGAATATGAGGAAAACAGCATTCACTGACTTAAGGCAGCAGCTCGCCAAAACCGAACATCCCGAAATTTTACCGTGGGAGGTTGCTTGCACCCCAAACATGTGAACAGAGCAGGTCCGAGCGCACAGCATGCTGCCCTTGCCTAGAAAACTGCCCTTAAACCCGTTACGAGCAAGCCATTCTAATACGCGCGGACGAGCTTCCGATTCTCCCTGACCCGTCGAGAAGGTATGCCGCAATGTTATAATGCGAGGGTCCCGCAACGATTCTGCCTCTCGAACCATGGCGGGACATGCTCCATTCGTCCATCAAAATGTGAGGCTTTGAGAAATGGTGGTTTTGCCATTTTCGCGCTCTTCAGGGTTGATCTTCGGAATCAGCGCCTCGATTTACCCCAGTTAAGCAAAATAAACTTCAAGTCGAGAACCTGCTGAGCCGCTGCCTTTAAGGGCACTGTCCACCCAAATTGGGGTTGGTAAGATTATGATATACTAGCTGGCTTACCCGGCTCCGCCGTATGTTTCAAATAGAAAATTCCATTTCTTAACCGATCCGGACCAAACTTGACGCACATACACTTCGGGCCCTGGCGGGTGTCACAGTCCACTTTTCGCTATCGATCGATGTCGATTTTATCGATATCGATCGATGACGAAAAGTAGCCTATGACACCCGCCGGGGCCCAAAGTGTATGTGTGCCAAGTTTGGTCCCGATCGGTTCAGAAATGGAATTTTCTATTCGGAACATACGTACAGACAGACAGACAGACAGACAGACAGACAGACATACAGACATACAGACAGACAGACAAACAGACATTCAGCTTTATATATAAGATAGCAGCTGTGGGGCCCCCAACTGTATGATTCCCTACTCTGCCTAAAGTTGCTTCCGAAACGAGAAAATTGCTTCGGAAATCGCTTCAGGTGACGGTTCGCGACGGTGGCTCCTCCCCTTTCGGGCGGACGTGACGTCGTCCCGTCCATCCGTGCGCGTCGAACCAATCACCGTTCCAAGAAATCGCTCTGCGGGTTCTGAAAACGGGGTTTTTCGTGGTTTTGGCGGATATCCGACTCCGTATTCGAGATCAGGGGTATGGGAAGACCCTGGAAGGCAGAAACGTAGAGGTCGAAATTTTGGGTGGACGGTGCCTTTGAGGGCCGGGCATATGTCAAGCAATTTTATCGTCTCGCGATTTACTCAACAAGACAACTGCTACGAGTTCATTGCATGCAGATCATCATGCATTTTCGATAGTCTTCCAACACGATTAAACGCGCCACTACCACAACCGAAATGCAAGATGATCAGCATGCAATCGTAACAGTTATCTTGTTGGGGAAATCGCGGATGAAATCGCGTGATGTATGCCCGGCCCTTTGAAAGTGCGATCGCGTCAGAGTGGCTTGGGTTAGCTTAGAAATTTTATTCTTTCATCGTAAAAGATACCTGAAAAGGAATAAGACGAAAAACAGACGAAGATGAAGCCGCGCCTTGTTACAATATCATGTCGGGACCTATGGCCACCCAAAACGCTCATAGCCAACCAAAACGTAGAGACTGTTTTGGCCACCAAATCCCACCTCGACTGCATTGGGACGAGCTTATACTAGCTGACCAACCAGGGCCCTACTATAGTATTCTCAACAAAGCAGGCACGGTAGAGAATTTCCGCAGGTAAGGCGGCTTTATGATCTTCTTCGCGCGTTATATCATGCAATCACGCTCACAAACATTGATAGTTTTTTGTTCATTTGTATGTTATCATATTCTTTCAAAGATCCTTATTATTTTCCTTGCAAACACAAAATTTTTATGGGGATTCAACTGCGGGTGTTCAGTAGTTTGCGCGCAATATCTACTCACTGGCCCCTTTGCGCCCATTGTTTGCCACTTTTCTGCAACTGCACAAGCTAATGAAATCTTGGCCGACTGTAGTCGTGGTTATCAACTATTGAATCTCTAGAGCTTGGCGAGTGCATTTCTTTGAGGACCTGGTCTGTTTGTCTCAGACACATTATCAGTGAAGCTCAGTGGACTGTTTTCACGCTTTTGTTTCTACAGCTGTGATCTCATGTCGTACTCTTATTCAAAAAAATGTGTATCATGAAGTAAGATGTTGCAGGGTTTGCTAACCGAAATTCATGGGAGGAATCGACTGGCAAGGATTTTGTGGAGGAAAACTATGGGTCAGTTTTACATTCTTTCTGTTCTTATATGTACGTATGGTCTGTCTCCGGGTAGATATTTGCATAGACACAGTCTGTGTCATTTGCGTACTCCCTTTTACGTAAACGCAATGAGCTTCGCGTCACGTTCGTGCGCGTATGACTCGGGCACTTCAATCAGCCTCATCGATTAGAGGTCCGCACACAGGGCCCTTGCGGTGCGCACACGTAGATCCCATGCGAAAGGGAGTACGCAGTTGACATAGACTGTGGATATAGAACTTTCCACAGCTGCGTTCATGCTTGCTGTGATCCGGATCGGATCGGAAAACTGAACTGCGCGCGAGGAAGTAGAAAACTTTTGAGTCTGAATTTATCCATTTCGGGCAGTTTTCACAGCTTCAGCAATGTTTGAAGCTCCAGGAATTTGAAAACTTTTTCTGGCCTTTGCTTCTGTTTTCTATAGTAATTGTTTGCCGCGCTGCCTGCAGTTTAGCGAGCCGGATCGAATCCATATCTATAATAAGCATCTCAACAGCCTACCGTAGATGTTTTTGATTTAGTTTTGTAGTGTTATTATCTTCTCTTGTATGTCTACCGCGATGAACGCCAACTGCGCTTTTGCGATGCATTTGGTAATTTTTCGAAACATTCAACCTCATCGCTGTTTTTAGGACAATCCTTTTCCTGACGGAGGACTACCGAACGTCTCAATATGTTTTCAACACACTATACTAGTCTGGGCTCCTGTTGCCTTCTTCTGGGTTCTATTCCCTTTCCTCATGGCACAGGCGTCATTAACAAGTCGAAATTATCCACCATTACCATGGAGTACACATCTTATACTGAAAATAGTAAGTCCTTTGAACATTCGCTGGCATGCACATTTTTTTCGCACTCAAATTACAGTAACTTCCAGGCTCTAACATCTTTGATAACATTGATTTCCTTGATTATCTTGTTACATAATGTTTTTTCGTCATCATCTTATCCTCCATCGGACATCTTATACCCTATATTGTGGGTATTCACGTTTGTAAGTTCATTTGAATATCATTTGCTCATTTTGCTACCTAAATTATTCTTAGACTGCCACGACAGCTGCACATTTGATACGAAAGAAATCAGGCATGGTTACCTCAGGCATACTACATCTCTCAGCTATAGCATTTGCTGTAGCTGGAGGACCGCAATTCTATCAGAACGTTAGGGAGGGTAATGACGTTAGTTATCATCTCAGATTTTTTTCATCATATGAAGTGTTCCACACTTACTTACTGCTGACTGACGCTGTCACGTTACCGGTATTGCTTCTGTGACGAATGTTACCTCTTACTGCTATTATCGCTATTACCGCTGTTGTTTTTGGATTATTACAGCGGAACTGTTATTACCGAGGTTGATGAAACGGTCAACCTTCCAGTACCATTTACCACCGTTTCTCGTACGTGTGTGGCTAGATGGTGATACATTTTATCTTAAACATCAGGAAAATATCAGAAAAGAGCACATTGTGGAGTCGTCGACCGCAGGGACTGGTTGTAGATCGCGGATCCCTCGCGGCGGGGGTGATATGTCACGAGCACGACTTGTACAGAAGCGACCGCGTGCTCCGCAATCTACGGTTAGTCCCTGCGGTTAACTACCACACGTTTCCAAATACGGGAAAATGAGATAGCTGGGGTATTTTTGACATCCAGCATGACAATGGTATTTAGTAGCCGATAACATCGGCAACAGCGGTAAAATATGTTCGAACCCTTTATCAACACTGTTATTTGACAATTATAGGATCAGTCTTACCTGACATCTACTCTATGCATCGCTTACCTAACATGGTATACTGCCGTAATAGTCTACATGTTTCTCATGTGTTGGGCCGATGCGCGAGACCCAAGCGAAAAGACGGTAGATCGTTTGCGCCCTCCATTATCTCCATCAGTTTTTAAAAATTTTCAGAAAAAATCGGTTGAGTTGGACAGCTCTTTTTTGAACCGTCTGACCTTATGGTGGTACAATCCCATCCCAATCGTAGGTTCTAAGAAGGATCTAGAGGTGCTGTGATAATGTTCTTCTCCCTTGCATATTGTACTTTGAAACTAGTCATCAACTTGATTTAGCCCGAAGATCTCTTTGATTTGAATGAAGGAAGTACAACAAAATACCTCAGTGATCTCTGGGAACAGTACTGGGAGCCGAAGATGGCAGGTAAACGCAATTTATGTTGAAATTGTGAAATTTTAGCAATTTTTGTCTTTCAGATTATCGAAGGAAGATGGAGCTTTATACAAAAACAGTAGGGTAAGTTTTTTGTAGGTAGAGTTCGCCGTTTTTGTCTGATACCCTTGTTCTTGAAAGGCGTTTTTTGATTTTCCTTTTTCCAAAGTTTTTTCAAATTCGGTAGTTTGGACTCACGCTTACAAACGATAAGAAGAGAAAACCTTGACTCAGTATGGAAAAGCCTACTGTACAAAGTATATGAGAATTATCTTTCGGTTTTGCTCGTTCTTTTTTCTCTCTTAGCGAGCTAATTTGATCTAAGCGCTGTTTAGGAAGGACAAAGAAAAGAAAGAAAAAGAGCCTTCTCCTCCTTCGGTTGTTTGGTGCCTTTTCCGAATGTTCAAATGGGAGATACTGACTGCTACCGCACTCAAGATTTGCAGCGACACTTTGCAGTTTGCGAATCCATTTCTTCTACAGTAAGTTTTGTGTACAGTTATTATCGTTTGTGCTTTGGAACGAAGCGATTGAGAATTCCTATAGGGGATGAAATACTAGTGGCAACTGTCTGCTCTCTGGTTTGCTAATTACAGGCTGCTCCCATCTATACCCTTTGATTCAGCACGATTGGAGGCTGAAGGAGGCTGATTGGGCTCTGCACCTCCCACGAGCGTAAGAAAGGCGGAGTTTCAATCATCAGAGAGCAGGATCGCGAAAGAGGTGCAGAGTCAGGCGAGGCGGCTGCGAGGACATGAGCCCCGCCCTCCAGCCGCCAATCCTGTTGAATGAGAAGATATGGCTGCGTTCATAGTAATCCGAAAGTTTGGGAACAGTTGAGCGCTGTGCTGGAACTGTTCCCGACTTTCGGATTAGTATGAACGCAGGCTATGCCACCAATGCGAGTTCAGAGTTGCCGCTGTGTCGGTGCCCTGCCAGCGCCGTGCAAGAACCTAAATTGACTGAACGAACGAGGTTCCGGCATGGCGCTAGCTCAGCATTTGAACGGCGCTATCACGACGCTGGCACGACGCTGGTAGCCTTGATCCCAACCATTGAATGTTCTTAGAGAAACTGGGAAAACCATAATTCAGGCGAATATTTTGTCAGTTTCTCCTACCATGATCAGTTTTCAATCTTCATCACCCTTATGCGCCATTCCATCTCTTCTTTTTTCAATGACACCAAATTTAATCTATCTGCGGTTAATGTAGCACCCACTCCATAAAGCTTATCTCTCGTTTAGTGCCAGCAACTTTTTGAGTTATTCTTTTTGCGTTTATCTAAATTTCAGTACACAACAAGAAAGTTCAACTTTTGAAGTGCTGAATAGACAATGAAAAAGAAAACGCCAATTCAAAATTAGAATTCGCGTTTTTAATCAAACCAATTTAAAAAAGAAATCAATGTTAGAAGAGGAGTAAAAGTAATGTCGGTTAGCTGAGAAGCATCACTCTGGTGACATGAAATTCAATCAAGACAATCTTTCATACTCTCAGACATAGATACACCACAGTTTTTATTCTAGAAAAACTGTTGATTACGGAGAAATTGTGCGAATTTTTCGGCGCTGGTAATATCATCATTTTTTCAGTCAACTAATAGGATTTGTATCTGATATGAAATCACCTCTCTGGATTGGACTGTCCTACTCTATACTGATGTTTGTGGCATCGGAAGTAGGTTGCGCATCTTGATCTGGAATATGCTAATTAAGAGATCAAATTTTTCAGACTCGGTCATTTGTGCTAAACTCATATTTTTACATAATGATGCGTATGGGAATAAAATTTCAATCTGTTCTCACAGCTGCCATCTATAAAAAGGTAGTGTTTTAAAGTCTCGCAATAAGATTGAGATATTTTCATTTTTTTTCTTTTCAGACCCTAAAGTTGTCTAACTCTGCTCGCAGAGACAAAACTGTTGGTGAGATTGTAAACCTCATGGCTATCGATGTGGAAAGGTTCCAAATGATCACTCCACAAATACAACAGTTTTGGAGTTGTCCATATCAGGTGATTCACAATTCCCTCACTTTTTTTATTACAGTAGTCAGGATCTAATTTTCTATGTTACTTTGATACAGATCACCTTGGCATTGACCTATCTATTTCTCACTCTCGGGTATTCAGCTGCACCAGGAGTTATTATAATGATAATTTTCCTCCCGACAAATATCATCGGATCTATTATTGTCAAGAAATGGCAGGTCAGTTGTCACCAACCTTTAGTATGAATTTTTTTGATTTGGACCTGTTTAGGTGCAACAAATGAAACTCAAAGACGAAAGAACCAAGATCGTCAATGAGGTTCTGAATGGAATAAAGGTTTGTTGTCTGGACTTATTATGTGCATGGTGATTGAGAGGCTTGAAGAAAGTCATTGCCTAAATGGGAGACGGTCAAGAGGCGCGATTTCTCCGGCTGTCACCAACTCAAAACTCCAGTTCAGTACTATGCGAGTCTTCAAAAAATACCAGATAAAGTGCATTAGCTTACTTTCTGTCTGAGGTTACCACTTGCTGAGTTTGGTGGCTTGCTAAAAAACGGACCGAAAAATTTACGAATTTGTTCCCAATTGCATTTTCGTGGGTATTTGACCTTCAAAATTGCTTTTTGAATTTATTTCAAGGTAGCAAGATTGAGGACACTTTGCAACTATCTAATACATCTCCTTCGAAATTTTGAAGACCTTTAGAACCCTAAAACACATTATGTGCTATTTGGTGTTCATCTGGCAATAAAAATCGCGCCTCTTGACATGCACCCCTCTTTTCTAACGAACCAATCAGCGCGACGAGTACGGTAGAGTACAGTATGGGCATGAGTTCGAAGTAAGACCTTTCGACGTATAAAGTAACAACGTACAAAGTACATAACCCACCATTTAGGGGGTTAGTCAAGAGACGCGATTTTTACTGCCAGATGGACAGCATATAGCACATTTTTAGCGTTTTATAAAGTCCTAGAATAGCCTGAAATCTCCAAAAAAGTATATTAGATAATTGCACGGACTGTGATCTTTTCATTTGGAATCGTTCCAAACAAAATTGTTGAAGGTCAAAAACCCATGAAAATGTAGTTAATAGCAATTTTGTAAATATTCCGGTCAGTTTCCTAGCAAAAGTCGTCGAACTTATCAGACGATTATTTCAAACAACTAGTAAGCAAGTGGGCTTTGTCCAGTATTTTACGCTCCACACAAAGTAGAGTTTAAGTTGGTGCCAGCCGGGAAAAAATCGCGCCTCTTGACCGTATCCCAGAAAAGAGTGCGGCATGGTACGGTAGCAGACGAGAGCATTTAGATCCGCGATCATCTTATAGCGCGGGAAATTAACTTCGATACATTAGCTGTTTCTCTTGCTTTGTTGATAAATGCGCTCCCTGAGACAGAACTTGTGTGATTAATCGAAAGACAATTTTAGGTGATAAAGCTATACGCTTGGGAATTACCAATGGAAGAGTTGATCGACCGCATTCGACAAAAAGAATTAGCATTGTTGAAAAAGTCATATCTTGTCAGAAATGTCATCGACTCTTTCAATACTGCCAGTCCATTTATGGTAAGTTGGCAGTCGAGTATGAAAACTCGATGCATACAAGATTTCTTCTAGGTAGCTCTCTTCTCATTTGCTACATTCGTATTGACTTCATCTACACACGAACTTACGCCACAGGTACTTTGGTATTTATAAGTTCAAGTTTTTATTGATCACTTTTACGAAGTAAATATACATACGATTGATTTGCGCCGCAATTCAGCGCTAGATTTCGGAGTTGCTAGCAGAAATATGGAGTACTAGCTGGCTTACCCGGCTCCGCCGTATCCGGACCAAACTTGGCACACATACACTTCGGGCCCCGGCGCGTGTCACAGTCCACTTTTCGTTATCGATCGATGTCGATTTTACCGATTTTTATCGATTTTTTCGCAGAGTTCACCTACAGGGCTAGGAGTTGGCACAGGGGGGGGGGGGAAGTGAGCATGGGGATTCCGAATACAATATTAGTTTTCAGAATTATCGGTTACTTTTATTGATTTTATCGATTTTTTGTAAATTTTGACATGCGAGGCTGGGATTTTGCACAGGGGGTAATCGAGCATGCTGATTACGAACACAATATTAGTTTTCAGGATCGTCCATTACTTTTATCGATTTTACCGATTTTTTTGTAAAGTTTGACCTGCGGGGCTGGGAGTTTGCACAGGGGGGTAATCGAGCATGCAGATTACGAATACAATATTAGTTTTTGGAATTATCCATTACTTCTATCGATTTTATCGATTTTGCAAAATTTGAGCTAGGGGGCTGGAATTTGGCACAGGGGGTAATCGAGCATGCTGATCACCCCCTTGGGGATGATCAGCATGCTCGATTACCCCCCTGTGCCAACTCCCAGCCCCCTAGCTCAAACTTTGCAAAAAATCGATAAAATCGATAAAAGTAATCGATAATCCCGAAAACCAATATTGTATTCGGAATCCCCATGCTCGATTACCCCACTGTGTCAACTCCCAGCCCCGTAGCTCAAACTTTGCAAAAAAATCGATAAAATCGATAAAAGTAATCGATAATCCTGAAAACCAATATTGTATTCGGAATCCCCATGCTCGATTACCCCCCTGTGCCAACTCCCAGCCCCGTAGCTCAAACTTTGCAAAAAAATCGATAAAAGTAATCGATAATCCTGAAAACCAATATTGTATTCGGAATCCCCATGCTCGATTACCCCCCTGTGCCAACTCCCAGCCCCGTAGGTGAACTCAGCAAAAAAATCGATAAAAATCGATAAAATCGATATCGATCGATGACGAAAAGTAGCCTATGACACCCGCCGGGGCCCGTAGTGTATGTGTGCCAAGTTTGGTCCGGATCGGTTCAGAAATGGAATTTTCTATTCGGAACATACGTACATACATACATACATACATACAGACAGACATACAAACAGACATTCAGCTTTATATATAAGATGAATGATATGCATGAGTAAGCTTTGAGATATGTAATAACCTTAGACTCCCCTCTCGGAGAGGGCCGAACAAATTTTTTGAGATAGCCTGCTTGAGTTATAATATCAGCTATCAAAGGCAGCGCCCAGCCTCCGAACTTATGGGGATTTTACGTGAAAGGTAATTTTGGGCTTTAACTAAGGCACGGCCCAAGCGGCAGCGCAAATTGACTCACTAACGGCTAAGATATACGCCTCCAACCTGGATTCAGGGTGGCGGTCTCAGGATTTCTGTTCGGGGGAGGGGGGGGGGTCAAAAAAATTTTTAAATGAAGGTGCGTGGCGTAAGCCACGCACTCCCAAAAAATTTCTGGGGTACTTCCCAAATTTTTTGCGGCCCCGTACCCCCCAAAATCAAGAAAAAGGGGAGCCAGCCACGCCCTTGAAAAAAATTTTTGCAGGGCTTTGAATTTTTCCAAAATTTTAAATTAATTTCAGTTGTTTACATAAGTAAACAAGTCATTTGCACATTTTTATAACCCACGTAAATCTTAAAAATTTTGCGACCCATTTTCGGGAGGGGGGGGGGCGCCCCCCTCTCCTCCTCGGTCCGCCACTGCTCAGCCGTTAGAACACCATCTGAGCTGCCGGTTGGGAGTGTCTTAGTTAGGATCCCAAATTACTATCCACATGAGATCCCCACATGTCCAGGATTTGCCTGGACGCTGCCTTCAAGTTTTTTCCACTTGTGAATAATTACATTAGTTTTTGAAATAACGCAAAAACTTTTATGACCGGAAAGATTTTTTTTCGGGGTACTTGAACACGAAAAAAACTTCAAATCATCCCAAAAAATCTTGAAGATCGCCTGTGGCCCTCTCTCCCCGAAAGAAATTTCTCGGACTGTCAGTGGCATTTTTTATGGGAAAATTATAGAAGAATACCTGTCTTTGTTGAGTGACTTTTATGTTGTCACCATTTCATTTCACTATCTCGATGAAAGTATCAAAACTAAACCTTTTCTCAAACAACCAAAGTATGTTTAACTAAATACATTTTCAGCTAGATATCATTATTTTATTATTCTTGGAAATCTCTGCACCAATATCTTCGTTTGAAAATGAGATTTCGCATTATCGCGTCATTATAGCAATGGTAAAATCTTCTATACAACTTTGTAGATCCTTTCTGGTGCTATGTGGAACATTTGGCCTACAGATCATATAAACTGGATCATTTTCGGTCTTTTTATAACGTTGCTTTGAAAGATTAGAAAGTTTTTGCGTGAAGAATAAAAAAAATGGAAAGATCTAAAAAAAAATTTTCCGCCATGAGGTTTCCTTATATATAGAATCATTTGAGTTTTCTTCTATTCCCCTAGGGGAAGGAACAAATTTTTTAGGTCGCTTTCGTTTCACTCACTTTGTTCAACCAATTGCGATCACCTATGACCATGATTGCTTTCTTGATTGGCCAGTTGGTGCAGGTAGATCATACTATAGGTGATTTGCAGTAAACTGTAACCCAACTTCCATTTTATAGGCAGTTGTCTCCAACAAACGTTTAAAGCAGTATTTCACGGCAGACGAGCTCGATCCCAATGTTGTCGAAAGAGATTTGAGGATTGAGAGTAAGGAAAACTTGAATCAATTATAAGGTGTCCCTCGGGACCTCAAAAAATATCCATTTTCGTTAATATCGATATGGCCTCTCAAAAAGTTAGGGACTTGGCTGATTTTATACTCCATATTTTTTCTTCAAAGTTCTGGCTGTGGCGTGTTGCATCTCAAAAAATCTGTCGGGCCTGTTACCCTAATATAGCACTTTTCTTTCGAATGTCTTGCGAAACCATAATATCTCTCATAGATCCAAAGGACGTGGTTCATTTCGAGGACTTCTCAGCAACTTGGGATTGCGACGATGGGCGATCTACTACTCTACAGGTTTTTGTTATATTTTTAAGTTTTTTCTCGTCCTGATCAAATTTATACTTAAGGATGTCAGTTTCACAGCTGCAAAGGGAACCTTTATCTGCGTGGTTGGGAAAGTCGGTTCAGGAAAATCTAGTCTGTTGTCGGCACTTTTAGGTACGTTTATGCTGCGCAGATCAAGTTTGATGGTTATGACGTTCCCTTTTAGGCGAAATGGGAAAATTACGCGGTAGGATAGGAATGCATGGTAAAGTTGCCTATGTTCCGCAGCTACCTTGGATTCAGAATATGACTGTTCGTGATAATATCTTATTTGGGAAACCTTATGATAAACGTCGTTATAATCAGGTAAGCATTTTCAGTATAACTATTCTTAACCTTTGATTCAGGCTTGGCGGCTGAAAGGCGGGGCAACGTGACCTAATCAAGGCTCTAGGTATTGATCAGAGAGCACGCGCGAGCGAGAGACGCAGACTGCGTAGTGCGTAGCGGGCGCGAGCAGCGTTATTTAGGTCACAAAGCCCCGCCTTCTGCCGCCAAGCCAGCTGAATCAAAGGTTAATCAAAATGCCATTAGGTACTTTCTGCTTGTGCTCTCAAACAAGATCTTCGAATACTTACAAATGGAGACATGACAGAAATTGGCGAGAAGGTAAGGAAGTTAACTGGCAATTTTTAAACCCTTCAGTGTCCTGTTTAGGGAATCAATCTTTCTGGCGGCCAGAAAGCTCGAATCTCGCTGGCAAGAGCTGTGTATCAAGATTTTGACGTCTATCTGCTTGATGATCCACTCTCGGCTGTAGACGCTCATGTTGGGAGACATATTTATGAAAACGTAAGTTTGGATTTCAGCAGTGATCAATGAATTGTAACAGTCAAAAATTTGAATAGTGATAACAAAAAGATTGGCCTAATTGGAATGTTGAAGTTTCAAATGAATTCGACTGCAGCATGACTGGCATCTATGTGTCAACAGCCACATTGTAGCTCCAGATTTTGGCCATAAAATTGGAAAATCAGTTAAAAGGAAAATAGAGCACACGTCTGACTATATTTTCCCGCAAACGTGCCAACAGTTGTAATGGAAATCTTGATTTACTGTAGTCAACGAAAAATGTGAAAACTGCAAAATTTATGTAGAGGCGTATCGGAACAAAATGGTATGGAAAATCATGTACGATAGGGTAGCCACCGGCTGTCAAAAGCCGAATTCAGGCACCCGCCATACTTGATCCTCGATCCGCTTCCTGCAAAACGCGCGCACACAACAGTTTGTTATTTGGCGCCGCGTTGGCAAGAAAGGAATTTTGTGTGGTTACGCGAATTCGTTATACGCGACGCCAGATTACAAATTAGTGACGTGCTTTTTGCACGAAGCGGATCGAGCGGATCAAATGGATCAAGAGGATTAAGTATGGCGGGTGCCTCAGGGATGCAGCTTGTCTTATATATAAAGCTGAATGTCGTTTGTATGTATGTATGTCTGTCTGTCTGTCTGTCTGTATGTTACGTATGTTCCGAATAGAAAATTCCATTTCTGAACCGATCCGGACCAAACTTGGCACACATACACTTCGGGCCCCGGCGGGTGTCATAGTATACTTTTCGTCATCGATCGATATCGATTTTATCGATTTTTTGCAAAATTTGAGCTACGGGGCTGGGAGTTGGCAGGGGGTAATCGAGCATGCTGATTACGAATATAATAATGACAGGGCCGGGCGGAGCCGCGTAAGTCGACTAGTAATTGATAATAGTGAGATGGGACTGTTGAGGAGGAGAGAAAGAGGGGGGGGGGGGGGGAGGAGGAGGAGACTGAAGCTTTGACAGACAGCGTAATCTTTGATTCAACTGGCTAGGCACCTGAAAGGCGGGGCTCTGTGACCTAATTAAGGCGCTCGCGCCCACGGTGCAGTCTGCGTATCGTCCGCGCGTGTCCTCTCTGATCATTACCTAGCCTTAATCAGGTCACGAAGTCCCGCCTTTCAGCCGCCAAGCCATTGATCAATGGATATGTGATGGTTTGTGTGAAATTTTAGATCGCGTAAAATCATCTACAAATCTATGCTTCTTCGAAGGTAGTGTTTCTCAGAATCAATCTTTCCAGGTACTCGGCCCCAATGGTCTTCTCCGTGACAAAACGAGGATTTTGGTTACCCACAGGTTATCTTACGTCAAATCAGCTGACGAGATAGTGGTGCTGGGAGGTGAAAATTATCTCTCCACTTTTTCTCTTATTATTGGCTATCATCTCAGATGGTCGTATCGTTGAAAATGGTCGCTACAATGAGCTGATGAAACAACATGGAGTATTTTGCAAATTCGTGGATGAATATAATTCAAAATCAGAGGAAGAAGAAGGAGAGGAAACCGAGAGCGCTGGAACGGCCGAAGCAGCAGAATCTGACAGAGCATGTGAGCGATATCAGACTTTTTTTACTCTTTTCTTACGACTGCTCTTGAAATTCGTTTTAGCGGACGGTGATGTGACGTCGGAGGTCGCGAAAATTGGAAAGAGGACGTAAGAACATAATTCTGCAAAAAGAGGCGAAGAGCAATTTCAAGCACATTATTTTCAGTAGTGTCGTATCGGTGACTTCCACTCGTGCTGTGAAGGAAGATGATGGGAAACTCATACAAAAGGAGTCAGTGGAAAAGGGAAATGTAAGGAAGTCTGAGCGAATTCTTTCTTTTCAAAAGTTTATTATGTGGAATTTTCACGGCTATGAATATTTGGCAGTTAATCATTACCTGAGTGGATCTGCTATCAGTAATATTAGCAATCAGTGGCGTACCGCGGGGGGGGGGGGAGGACGCCCCCCCCCCCCATTCCCTCGAGATTGGATCGCGGAATTTGAATGTTACTTGCATTTGCAATTGATTTCTTTATGCTTGTAAATAATCGGAATTTCTTCAAATTTTCTAAAAATTTAATTTAGTTTCATAGGGGGCGTGGCTGACGCCACGCACCTTCATCAGAAAGAAAATTTTTTGCGCATTCTCCTCCCCCTCGCCCTCCCGCACGGAAATCTTGGGTACGCCACTGTTGGGAATATACAGGATGCGGCAAAAGTCTGGGAGCCTAGTACCTTTTCGTCAGCCCAGTTCTTGAATTACAAAACTTCCTCTTTTGGCTTCCACGCAGCCCTACAAAATCTTGGCAGGTCCACCTGTCATAGCAGCAGGTAGTCGTAATAGAATTCGCCCCACGCCTTCAAAATAACTGCTTCTTTTAGCTTGGCAGATGCGCAGCACGATAGAGCAAACTTTTGTCTACAACATACTTCCAAAAGAATTTTTTGCATTGCTTAGGAATAAAAATATTGGATTTTAAATTAGAAGCATGTGTACGTCGCATACCGGAATTTTGGCTACAATTGCGCGAATAAAAACCTAAAAATATCGTTTAAAAAGTATAAAAAGTGTTCCCATGGCCGAATTTCAATAGATTCTAATTTAGAAGACGTACGTAAAAAATGCAGCCTTGGTCCCAGTGCCTGTTGAGCATTTTATAACTTTTAAATTTGTTCTGGAGACGGATTTTCACTGGCACGTAGGTAACATTCGCCAACTTTTATTTTCCGTTCATGCAAGAACAGCTCCTGGCAAAAGCAAAACTAGGATACAATAGCGCAAAGCCTCTTATATGTTTTGTGCGTCGAAGTTTTGTAAAATATTAACAGCATCTCTAGTTACAGCAAAAATTGTAAGTACCAAAAATTCCGGTTTTTTCGCTTTGCAAAAGTACTAGTTTGGTAATTTCCATTCTTTACATAACATATGGCAGCCATTTCCAGCCAAATAAAATGTATTCTGTAGAGGATGACCGCAGCATCATGTGGCATAAAATTGAAAACAAAACGATCAGTATCTTTTTAATTGCAGTACTGCAAAGTTAGGCTCCCAGACTTTTGCCGCACCCTGTATATTTAGAATCTGAAAAGTCATAAGTATCTGTGCTTTCACCGAATTTGTTAAATTCAACTAACAAAAGAGAAAATCATGCGGTTTTTGTCATACTAAAGTCTCACAATGATACAAGCTGATTAAGAGAATTATAAAATCGTAAACTATAATATTGATTTTGGTTTACGGTCTCCAAAGATGCTAGAAAGTCCAAAAAACTAATTTCTCGATTATATTCTTACTATTGAGTCTTTTTGACTGCGAGAAATTTGGTGACTGAACTGTGGATGTTTCTACAACTGTCAATTTTTTTGAACTCGACGTTTGGATTTTGTTTCGAATAAAATTTCCAGTATGCTATGGTACTACAATAAGGTTAAATAAAGCACTTGTTGTAGGTTTCAGAAAATGTGAGTTGAAAAATGTTCGAAATTTTTAGGTGAATTCTCATCATTTTTTTGGTGCAGATTCATGAATCAACCTAATACCTTGAAAGTTTGACATTTTTTTCGAGCTAGAATCATTGCTTTCGCGACGGAACTAGCAGAAATTTGATCAGAATCGAAAAATAAATCAAAAATAAAGAAATTGGCAGTTAGATGCAGCTTAATAGATGCCATTTCATAAACATGCAGCCTCTTTGACATCTTTTTCAAAGGGAACAAGTGTAAACCTGCTCTTATTTTCGGAAATTCATCCGTATTGCATTGACAATCTAATAAAACAGCATTATTTTCTATTATAGGTCAAGTTTTCCGTGTACCACTTATATATACAAGCTGCTTCCTACTGGAGAAGTTCTTTCTTCCTCGTATTCCTTGCTGGTTTCCAAGTACTACAAATTTTGCGAAGCTTTTGGTTGTCTGAATGGTTAGTTTTGCAGTGCCAAAGCATCTGCAACGGCTTTTTCATCACGAATTTCAGGTCTGATGATTATGATGGTCAACATGAGAATCATACCTCAACTGCTGTTCGAATATCAATTTTTGCAACGCTAGGAATACTAGAATGTGAGTTCCTTATCAGGTTCCGTGAGAAATATGAGTTGTGTGCCTCGATAGCTCAGTTGGGAGAGCGTTAGACTGAAGATCTAAAGGTCACCAGTTCGATCCTGGTTCGGGGCAACTGTTTTGCACGACATCTCAAAGTGTTTTATGTTTAGCAGAGTGCCAATCTTACCTCATTTAGCCCTCGCCTTTCTATTCTCACTTGTAAGTCTTGCATTTGCTGGGCTTTGTGCTTCATACAATCTTCATTCTCCATTACTTCACAATCTTCTTCGTTCACCAATGTCATTTTTCGATACGACACCATTGGGACGGATTCTCAACCGTTGTGCAAAGGTATCTATGATTTTTTTTACTAAATAACATTACTGGCCTCCCTTACAGGACATAGAAGTGGTGGACATGTTGCTTCCAATCAATTTTCGATATCTTGGAATGTGCGTGTTGCAAGTAGGTTTTGTTTTCAACTCAAAACTATCCACTACGTGTTTCCGTATTCCATTTTTTATTTTCATCAGATTTTGTTTTCTATCTTTATGGTTTCTTCTCGATTTCCATCACTTGCAGGTTATCGCTACGCTCACAGTCATCGTCATATCGACGCCAATATTCGTGATAGTTATCATACCTCTGGGTGTATTCTATTTCCTTTTCTTGGTATGTTTGCACAAAAATTATTTGAAATCAATATTTTCGCATGTTTTTTTTCTAGCGTTTCTATGTGCCCACCTCTCGGCAACTCAAACGCCTTGAAAGTATCCATAGATCTCCTATTTATTCCCATTTCTCCGAGACTATCCAAGGAGCTGCATCTGTACGAGCTTTTGGCAAGGTCAGATTTAATTTTTATCTATGGACATTTATAGATTGCTAAAAGCTTGCATTGTGTTGACCTACTATTTATGATCCATTCAATGGAGTATATTGTGTGATCGATAGGTAGAAGAGTTCCGGAATAATTCTGCTAATACTGTTGATGCGTTCATCAAGTGCAAACAGTCAAATGTAGCGTCAAATCGCTGGCTGGCTGTCAGATTAGAATTTATTGGAAATCTTGTGGTTAGTCATTTTTTCGTGCTAAGTGAAGAGGCGATGCTGATTTTTTGTTTACAGATATTTTTCGCAGCTCTTTTCGCTGTAATCTCAAAAGAACTCGGCTGGGTCACAAGTCCTGGCATCATTGGTGTATCTATTACTTACGCTCTAAATGTGAGTTCATTCAAATTTGAGCCGCATTCGAGGATTTTTTAAAATCATTTTTAGGTCACGGAAGTTCTAAACTTTGCAGTGCGACAAATTAGTGAGATCGAAGCGAATATTGTAGCCGTAGAACGGATTAACGAATACACTGTTTCGCAGACTGAGGTGGGTTTAATTGACAATCACTTTCACTATCAGCAGATATGAAATGATTCTAAACCCTAGCCACGTATTTTTAGGCTCCATGGGAAATCTCTGGGTACAAACCACCTAGAGACTGGCCTTCACATGGAACCGTCAAATTTACGAATTATTCCACCAGGTGTTTACATTATATGTTCAGTCGAAGAATTACGGGAAACAGTGCTTGGAAGAACTGTCCATATGTTATTCTTATTTAAGAGTCCAGGTGCTCCTCAGTGGGCTTTTACGTACTCTTAGTATAAAATTGATCTAAAACTCATAGGTGGGGGATCTTGACCTTTAAGAAAAATTTTGTTCGGAAAACAGTATGCACAATAACGAAGAGCATTGGCCTTAAGTCAATGGCGTTCCGAGGGAGAGAGGCGCTCCTCCCCCTCCCCCCCCCCCCCATCCCACCGCGAATGGCTCGACGAATCCTTAAAGTTACTTACTTGTATCATAAAAATGTATAAGTGACTTGTTTTAACTTGTAAATGATTAAAATAATTTTCAAAAAATTGTCAAAGTTTAAGTTAGCTTTAGTCAATTAAATTCGAGAAAGGCGGCAGCCACATGCTTCTGAAAAAATCTTTACGAGGCTAATTTGATTACTTGTAAGTAACTTACTTTTGTTTTCATTCTACTCGCAGAACACCAAGCTGTAGTCTCGGTCACGGTAGAAGCCTTAGTTGCTCTGCAAATGGCAAAATTTCAAAGCAACACGGCCAAGTCTAGCTACTTTCCGTTCCTTTCCTTCTAAATACTTCGAATATTTGAAGTTGTATGGAAACCAATCCGCAAGTTCTAAATTATTTGTTGACATCAGATTCTATATGCAGCTTCTTTGATAATTTGATAATAAAAAAATTACGGGCTTCTTGCCAATTTGCTGGTGCGGAAGTCTTCTATAGAGCTTGCAAAATCCCTAAGAATGTTATGGAAAATATTAGGTCGGTGCAAAAGTTTTGTCAGTTTTTTCAATCCATCGGCAAACACGCTAGAATGAAGATAAACAAACGCTTCAAAATGTATCCAATGCAGAATTTCTTCCTCTTTCCAGCTGCTAAACTATCATTGTGTTTTGTTGTGAGATTGATGAGATATTTGCTGGAAATCACAACCACTCGTTTTTACCATGTCCAATTTTCGCTAATTTTCAAAATCTTTTTATGAGACTTTCGGAGAAGCCCTATTAACCAGCAGATAGGGCAAACCTTTTGCCAACAAAAGCAATTTTTTGTAGCCCCACGGCTTGTCTTTCAAAATTTCTATGATTTATTTTTTTGAAGTGACCAAATTTTACATTAAGCCTATTTTAACCTAATAGAACATAAAATGTCAAACATTCCAGTCACATTCGATGCAGCTTTTTCTCCTCTTTCTAACGCTTGTCTTTTTTTGCCAAAACAGGCGAAATTTGTAGGGAAAATCGCAGTATTTCTCAATTTTAGGAGTGCGCACTGACGTAACTCATGTTTCAAAATCCTCATAATTTGAAGCGAAAGTCGCTCATTTACTTTGTAATAATAGCGGCAGTAATAATCGAGTGTTGAAACCTCAGTATTCTGTAGGTTTTGCGGTGTCTGGTGCAATAACAGGTTATGCGATTTTTCTAAAATACAAGACTTTTAGAAAATTATGCAGGAAAAATCTGGAAAAGCAGGTGAAGAAAAGAAAAAAATTGCATAAGTTGGCAAAAGGTTTGCCCTATCTGATAGCTATTAGGTCCCCTCCAAAAGTCTCATACAAAAATTTTGAAAATTAGTGAAAGTTGGACATGGGAAAAACGAATGACTGTAATTTTAAACGAATATTTTATCACTCCCTCAACGAAACACGATGACAGTTTGATAGTTGGAAAGAGGAAGAAATTCTGCATCGGATACATTTTCAAGTGTTAGTTTATCTTCTTTCTAACGTGTTTGCCGATGGATTGGAGAAACTGACAAAATTTTTGCACCGACCTAATACACAATAGGAAACGCAGCTGGAAAGAAATGCCTGTTTTTTTTGAAGTGTAATATGTCAGCGAGGGTGCATTCACGTTTATATTGGTACATATCCTAATCTGGAAATTATTAGTTGTACTGGAAGTTCGTTCGCGCTATTTTCAAAAATTCATAACCCTTTAAATTCTCAAGGAATTTGTACGATCAAAAATTTGCATAAAAGAGAAACTCATGCTCTTTGCATCTGTACCTGAACTGTTCGTTAATGTATACAAATGAAGGAGATAGAAGCTCAAAACCAAAATCACTCAAAATTTGAATTTTTCGTGTAGGATCATAAAAAATCGGGAACTTGCAACAAAAATCGGAACAGTCGGTATTGTAGGATTTGTAGAATTTACCTGAAAATGCCAAAATTAATCAAATTCGTCCTTTTCTATTGCTTGCTCGAAAATCATAACTTTTCATAGAGACGCTCAATCAGCGCAAACTTTGCACAGTTACAAAGAGCTGGTGAAGGAACCTACAATACTGACTGCTCCGATTTTTGTTGCAAGTTTCCGATTTTTTATGACCCCTCACGAAAAATTCAAATTTTGAGTGTTTGGTTTTGAGCTTCTATCTCTTTCATTTGTACACATTGACGAACAGTTCAGGAACATTTGCAAAGAGCATGAGTTCCTCTCTTATGCAAATTTTTGATCGTACAAATTCGTTGAGAATTTAAAGAGTTATGAATTTTCGAAAATGGTGCGAACGAACTTTCGGTACAACCTAATTTAAGTACTAAAATATTTGTGTTTGTAGTGATAGAACTTGCAACCTCTAACTAGCTGATTCAGGTATCGGGAGGGTCTTGAGCTAATTCTGAAAGACATCTCTGCCGACGTGGGTGAGGGAGAAAAGATAGGAATCGTGGGCCGAACAGGAGCAGGTGCATATTCCAAATTTCTTCGTCTAAGGTGGTTCGAAAACTCTTAAGTTCAGGAAAAAGCTCTTTTGCACTTGCGCTGTTCCGTATAGTTGAGCCTGCTAGCGGTGAAATTGTCATTGATGGTGTCGACATCTCCAAAATAGGATTGCACAATTTACGAGAGGGATTAACCATTATTCCTCAGGTTAGCCAAGATTATGCTTTAGCAATGAGAGTTGGATACAGAATAATCGAATATTTTCGCAAAAAGTCCAAAAATTTGGCAATGTTGGCTATACCATGAATAGTTTGAAAACTTTGGTAAAAAACACCTGCTATCCTAGAAATTTCAATAAAAGATATCAGTCCTAATAATAAGTGTGAGACTTCTTCGTTGATATCGTTTTCCAAATAAGATGCTGTACTAAACGCAAAAAATATTGGCTAGCAGAGAATTCCTCCATGTCTCAAAAAACCTATGCAGGACCCGGTTCTGTTTTCTGGAACACTTCGATTCAATCTGGATCCGTTCGAGAGAAGTACCGATGCGGACATATGGAAAGCTCTTGAACTTGCTAATATCAAGGACTGCGTATCTGGTTTCCCTGATGGATTGGATCACGTCATTAGTGAAGGTGGAGAAAACATCAGGTAAGCTCCGTTTTTATAGTGTGTAAGTTTTGATTTTTATCTATTCAGCGTTGGTCAACGACAGCTTGTGTGTCTCGCACGCGCAGTATTGCGGAATACGCGAGTGCTGGTATTAGATGAAGCTACGGCTGCAATCGACGTCACAACTGATGGGCTTATTCAGGTCATTTGATATTCTGAATTGAGAAGACTAGCAGATAATTTTATCACTATCGGATTGTTTTTGAAAAAAAAAACTAATGGAGATATATTAGGTTGAAACGAAACTCCGTTGCACCATATTCAAAAAAATCATAACTTCTTTGATTTCTTGACGGATTTCCATACATCTGATTTGCTTGGAAGAAGAAATCATGCACTCTATAACAGCATGTAGCGCGCTTCCTGATATGCAACACTGCGTAGGTAGGAAGGAAATCTCAATTTTGATTTTCCCGTGTTTGGACATTGAAATTGGAAATTGGAATGACAATCGGAGCAGTCAGTTAGTAAATTTCTTCACCTGGGTTTTCACTGAGCAAAATTTATGCTGCTTGAACGTCCCGCAAAAAGTTATGATCTTAGAGCAAGCGGATCAAAATCGCGATTTTTTGGGCTTTTTTTCGAAAATCATGACTATTTATGGAGACATCTTATCAGCATGGATTTTGCTCTGCTAAAAGAAGCAGGTCGAGAACCTGTAAAAGTGACTGATCCGAATTTCATTGCGAGCTTCAGATTTCTTATGACTAAACGAAACATTAGAATTTTGATTTTTTTTTCTACCGCTTACGCAAAGTGTGCGCATTAGGAAGCAGGCTACATGCAATTGAGCGCATGATTTCTTTCCCCGAATAAGATTGAATGCATACAAATTTATAGAAATTATAAAGCTATTGATTTTTGAACATGGTGCGACAAACTTTTGTTCCAAACTATTGTTTTTAGGCAACAATACGTGAACAGTTTGTGAAAAGCACCGTCTTCACTATTGCTCATCGTTTGAATACTATCATGGACTATGACAGGTAAACTCTTACAAAATGGTTTGCGTTACTTTCTTTATTATCAATTTCAGAATTATGGTGCTGGATCATGGTCGGATTATCGAATTTGATTCACCTTCGAAACTACTGGAAAATCCAGACTCGGCATTCTCTAAATTAGTGCAAGACTCAGAGTCCGAGTCAAAGAGTTCTTGAAATGGTTGAGTGTGCAGATGCGGGTTTTATACAGAAGTATCTTTCATCCTCACTTCGTTGTTATACAATTGTTCTCTTTTCCTAGGAAAATTGATGCCGGGTGCATTGTCATGAAAACTTTGACAAGTTTTAAATGTCATAGCCTTCATTGTACTACTTATGATTATTTGAAGCATAGTTTGCAAGTTGTTCATTTTTTTATATGATGTAAAACTTGTCACTATAAGTCGAGCTTATGGTTAGTCATTGTGGTTATTGAAATTGTAGTTTATCTGCTGAAGAGATAAATATGTACCTCAATCTTCATCGAGCGTTAGAAGGCACATGGTGTAGACGCATTTGGCGTTAGCTTGTTAATAGTCTGTAAGTAAGAGTAACGCTGGTAATGCTGAGTTATTTGTAAAAAAAATTCTGGTATGACCTTGCTATTAGGGTGTCCCATAATTTTTTACCGTTTTTACCATATTCGACCCACCGTAAGTTTGCCCCTAAATCCAAGTGAAGGCTCGAAAAATAAGAAAAAAAATTCATATTTTCGAAAGGATCTATGGACCTCCAAATTACTCATGCAAATTGCGCATCACATCAGACACTCATATGTACCGTTCCTGTATTTTTTTCCTCATCTAGAAATCGAGAAAACGAAAATTTTCATGCTTACATAAAAACGAAGCCGTGCTGCTTCCACCCATTTGATTGTATAGTACAAGCCTTTAGAAGTATAGTATAGCTGTGAATTTTTACTTTCCGCAAGCCGTACTTTTTGAAAAATATTGTTTTTAGCATGGAACAACCGAGGATGAGATTTCAACTAGGCATTTTTTGGAAACTAATGCCTGCCTGTAGAAAGCTGAAAATTTACGGTTATACTTCTATGAGCTTGTAGTATACAATTACATGAGTGGGAACAGCGTAGCTTCGTTTTTACAAAAGCATGAAAAATTTCGTTTTTTCGATTTCTAGATGAGGAAAATATGCAGCGACGGTATATATGAGTGTCTAATGCGGTGTGCAATTTGCCTGAGCAATTTGGAGATCCGTATCCCTAGACGTCTTGAGCTCCTTCCACGCGCGTGATCATATAGCTCGTACAAACAGAAGTACGACCATAATTTGTAAACTTTGTAGGTGCTCTAGTTTTCAGAAAATGTTGATGTTTAAGGTAGAAACGGTAAAAAAATTATGTGGCATCCTAATACAAATTAGGAGTGGTCCAGAGAATTTTTTCAGAGGATATGGGCTACTCCATGCATCTTCATCTATGAATTACTTTCGTGATTCTGTTTGTAAAAAAATTAGGCCAGCGAGCTCCTTCAGCAATGTCATTGTCGGTGTTTGCAACGCGAATATTGGCTAATCACTTGCGGAACTTCACATGGGGACCCATAATAACAAAGGAATGAAAGTACAGACTATCTGAGTTCATCGCAACTACGAGTACCATACATGCAAACTCACAGTTCCAAGAGCCCCTTCTTGACGCTGGACGTGGAAATGTTGAGAGTAGCATAACGAGGAACGGTTTACTGCTACCCGCTCCTGTCCCACGATGTTCAACGGGGCATAGAGCTGATACAGTTGATATGTTGACTCTTAGATTCACTACCACACAACATTTTTTTAAATGGAAAGCATAAGTCCTTACGAGAGGACAAAGCTGAGGAAAAAATTTTATAAAGAAGAAAACCATTGCACTTTTAAGAGCTGACTGTACAATAAAAACAGAAGATACGAAAAGAGTGTTATTAGCTAAAACATATAAACGTGACGTAGGAAGATTGAAATGAGGTAAAAACACTGAAACACGTAGGAAGTTAGCATCAGGAAGTCTCGATGATAAACAGTATGTGAAATTAGAATATCACAGACTGAGACTATTACTGACCATGAGATGATCGTAAAGAAATAACGAATACAAAATGACTAATGTGCTTGGCACATCAACAACATACCACGACATACAATATAAGTTATTAAAATGATTGAAATGCATATTAGGAGTTAGTCATCGCGCGTACTATCATCCTCTAGCAGACGTTCGCGTTCTATATCGTTCGCTTCTTTCTTCTTTTTACTATAGTAATAGTACTGTGAAATTACAACGATGTCAAACATCACACAACCGAGACTTCCAGCTAGCCATGGAAGATGTCTGAAAGTATTTTTTTCCACACTTCGCATCAAAAAGAGCCTTCGACTAGAACGGAATTATGGGATTGTTGGTGATTGCTTAGCTTTTTATTCTTGCGAAGCAAAGTTTTAGTGGCCAGAAAGTGCGCAATTCCTCTCCAATTAACCTTCCACGATTGGTAACAAATTCCCTAGGCTAGCGACGAACACACCCTATCTAATCAACAGTGACCTTATCAACTCGTTACAAGAATAGCGATAGCCTCTTAAAAGTCACCAAAGGAGATCAAAAAAGAAAATCGCACAAACCAACGTATTTTCAATAAACAAAAATAAATGTGGCATCCAATTTCCCTTCCCAAATAAGGCTGAAAACTGATAAAAAGATGTCTTACCTCAGGAAAAAGAGCCAGCCTGTTGTTGCGAGCAGCACGGACACGCCATAAGTAAGATTACCAGCTACGATGATGTAAAACATTAGAAGTGAGAGACCAGCACAGCTTTTTCGCTGATAATTCTTGATAATTTGAGGTATTCGGCCTCCGAAATAACACAAAGCAGCTATAGAACCAATGATGTATCCCAACTGAAAAGAATGTTTTTGAATATTGGTTTGCTAGAGCTTGCTGAATTTAAAAACAAAAAAAACCTACAAGATCAGTGTAACTTTCAAATATAGGCCACATTTTAAGAGCGCTTTCCAGGGTGATTTTTCTGAAAATAAACAAATGACACGTTTTGAAAGGTATCGCCTTGCCTATGCGCTACTTTATGAAATGAGCTAATGAAATGCTACAAAGAGCAAACACCCAGGTGAACAGATGATTACAAAATGAAAAGACACTGTGACATAAACGGTTTTTCTCGGATTAGAAACTTGAAGATATTTTTTTTGGTTTAAAGCGAAAAAGCTGAGTATCCGTTGGATCTACGCTGAGGATGGAATATTTCGAACTGTCTGTACCAATCTCTATATAAGTGCTTAATCATGAACATGTGGAAGAAGTCTAGACAATTCGCAATAAGTTCAGATTTCAACGACAAAAAAAACTTACGCTCAAAATTATCAAAGCCCCTATGTCCCCTTCCCACATATCATGCTAAAAAATGCCTCACCCATTGCTGTCAGCTTGGACTGATCGTATAGAGCGTGATCCGTCCCTCAATAACAAACAGGAACCAAGCGTAGAAAGTGCGACACAAGGAACAACGATAGTCGAACCTCAATGAGCAATATGTGGAAACTTTGCTAGACCGACAGCTCACCATCCCAGTAGCATACTGACATTCAAGATCCACAGGTAAACGGTTCAAGAGAGTTTAGCAAAATTTGCGCTTAGTAAAATAGTGTCATAGTGTCAGTCTCACTTGCCACACCTTCACCCTATAACGTTTCTTGCGTTCTTTTCGGCTTTCTTATTTCAAAGCTATAAAACTGCTGCTAAAACTGAGAACCAAAACCTGTTCCTTTTCCAAATCACAAATTAGTACAGACTTCTACTCTATTTTTTACGCGAAAATGAGTTACAAATGCATGATATTTTCAAAAATCTACACTGTACATAAACTTACCATAAAAACCCTATCAAAAATTTGTCTTGTTTCCCAAACAAGCTTCTTAGCTGCATTTCATGACCAGAAGCAGGGAGAAATCACAAACCGTGACAAGGGAAAGGGAAAAGCTGATAAGTAAGTGATCTAACCGTATACATAGTTGCAACGGAATTTCATAAGCGATAGAACAGATACAGGAATTAAAAAGTGATGATTGCAGAAAATCACAATTCGCTTCTTGATTGCAACAGTCAAAAGCTGGGCAATGGCGTTTCAAAGATATATTCTCAAAACACTGGATAGCTTTCGGAATATAAAAAGAAAAGCGTAGGACAGTACCCCATATATGCTTTGCAGCTTATCACAGGTAAGCATAACTCACAAAAAACACTTATAGGAAATGGTATGTTTCGTAAGAAACTTGCACTTACGTCTCACTAAGAAACGAAACATTCCAGTGAATCCAACTGGAGACATGAAGTCTATAGATTGTACAACCTTGAGTGAACTCTCGTCAAAAGACTTTGCAACTCACTTCTTTGACCTACGAGTTTCGGATATATCTTCGTGTAGTATCCAAACTGCGCCCACAATGCGAGATCCTGGATTATATAATAAACACCAATAACCTTTTGCAAAGGTGTCTGGTGTGTAAGTATTGCACCTAACATGTTACACGTATCACCGACAAGCCTAGAAAAGAGAGGAAGATCAAAATGGATGAATTGAAAAAAAAACATCAAGAAAGTGAATAATCGCAACTTACCAGAAGAAAAGAAAAAACGGTGACAATCCATCACATTTCTTTGTTTTGTAGTTTTGTAACAGCTGCGGGATAAGTGGCAGCAACCAAAGCATAAGTGAGATAATACCAATAATAAAACCAAGCAGTTTCAGCTCAGTGTCGACACAATCCGAAAATATCTGAAATGCCCTATACTAAACACTAGTTTGACACAAGCTATAAAGTAATCGATTGTTGGAATCTATTGAAACCACATACAAAAAATTTGTATTCTGGCAAACACTGATCTAATGAAACTAGACCATAACATTGTAAAAGATGAAAATTTACTTGAAAAGAATTATCAAATTAGTAAAAACTTTGTAAAACGCGAAAAAATTGTGGAACTTACTCGCTCGATCCATTTTATACCATTGGTGCAATTGTATGCATCAAGAAGATCGTGTCTAACGAGTCCTCCATTCTTCATGTCCGCTGGTCTGAAAAGACGATACATTAGTGTATTGCAAAGGAATGGTTCAAGATAACGAAATCAATGCTGTTTCGCAATTAGGAGAAGCATATGATTGCAGAAGGATCTAAAATGGAGACTGTAGTCGAGGTGCACCTCGAAACCTCCGATGCGGAGGCTCCGTGGTTTTCATCCAGATGTGCAGTGAAAGTCAGTGCCTTCAAAAGATTAGAACAAAAGTGCGAAAAGTACGCTAAAGGAAATCTGGACGACTAACGTATAATTCAGCAGTTATCAAGGATTGATTCATTAACATGCTTGAAGAAATCAAACAAAATTTTCCAGCAATTCCAGGATTTTGACCCTGTGAAGGTATGGTATACCGTCAAACATACCATAACCACAAAAAATTATCTAGATGCAATCAAAATGATGGTCTTGATTGGTGTTGCGGTGATCCCTCCGAACAAAGTTTTCGCAAAATCTACGATTTTGAGTTTTTGGCTCAGCTGATATGGAACAGCGCCAAAGTATTTCGCACGAAAGCTTATTCAAGGGGCTCAAATCGATACAATGATGCCCTTTCGTCGGTGATACGGGGCTGTTACGTAATGGTGGGACATGCTAAATTCTACTCTCATGCATACAGTGCCGAGCGGTTGAGTATCCAGAGAGTAATACCTAACTAAGGGCCGCATGCACTAACCTCCCCGCTGGGGAGAGACGGTCAAGAGGCGCGATTTTTCTGGACCCCTGGGGGGAGACGGTCAAGAGGCGCGATTTTCTGGCTGTCACCAAATTAAAACCTCAGTTTCGGGCTATGGGAGGGTTCAAAATGTGCCGGACAAACTCCATGGCTTACTAGCTGTTTGAAGTAACCACTCGATAAGTTTGGCGATTTCTGCTAGAAAACTACCGGATTATTTACAAAATTGCTAGTAACTGCATTTTTCAAGGGTTTTTGACCTTCAACAATTTTGTTTGGAATCGATTTCGGGATGATGAGATGGAGCAACCCGTGCAATTATCAAAAATACTTCGTTGGAGATTTCAAGTGATTCTAGAGCTCTGTAAAACGCTAAATAGTGCTATACGCGGCCCATCTGGCAATAAGAATCGCGCCTCTTGACATACACCCCCCGCTGGGGAGGGGATCGCAGCTTAAAAGAAAGCTTTATATTTCGAAACTCCATATACCTGGATTTCACGTTGTGTAATCCGTAAGTATTCCTACTATCCTTTACTATGAACATGTTGAAGAGGAGCGAGAAGCTGTACGAACAGCATTTTCCAGCTTTCGTAATATCCCTTACGATCCCCGGCGCTTTTCTTCAAAGTCATTTTTCTTTCTCCAAAGTTAACGAACATCTAACACAACAGTGCTAAGCATATTGCTGACTAGCTGGCTTACCCGGCTCCGCCGCCTCCCCACGGGGGTGATCAGCATGCTCGATTACCCCCCTGTACCAACTCCCAGCCCTGTAGCTCCAATTTTCCAAAAAATCGATATCGATCGATGACGAAAAGTAGCCTATGACACCCGCCGGGGCCCAAAGTGTATGTGTGCCAAGTTTGGTCCCGATCGGTTCAGAAATGGAATTTTCTATTCGGAACATACGTACATACAGACAGACATACAGACATACAAACAGACATTCAGCTTTATATATAAGATGAGAACAAATGAGTTTTTGAAAAGTCGAATTTTTCGGTAAACCTCAAACTTCGACCTGTGGATCATCGGAAATTTTATGACTTCAAAACATCATTTGTTCTTATCAGCAACATGCTTAGCACTGTCGGGTTAGATAATCTGCACAACTTTGGAAGTTTTTCGTTAACTTCGGAGAAAGAAAAATGACTTTAAAGAAAAGCACCGGGGATCATCAGGGATCATACAAAAGCTGGAAAATGTGGTTCGTACAGCTTCTCGCTCCTGTTCAACATGTTCATAGTGAGGGATTGTGGGAATACTTACGGATAGGTACACAACGTGAAATCCAGGTATCTGGAGTTTCGAAATATAAAGCTTTCTTTTAAGCTGCGATCCCCTCCCCGCGAGGATGTTAGGGTTCCTTCATACTGCGCCGCGCACGCCGCGTACGCCACCTACGCCGCGTATGCCACGCACGCAGCGTACGCCGCTGCAGCGCAATGGAAATGTGGAAATATGAAGAAGAGGAAACCTTTTCATCCAGTGATGTGTTTGTAAGGAGATGTTAACAGCGCAAATATACAACCAGATACAACATACAACCATACAACCATATACTACCAATACACAACCGATGACGCAATGTGCAGCAGTTACGATACAAAATGTGAAACTCGAAAGTAGAGGGAGCACAACAACCTAAGTCATTTCATCAATCATTGATATAGACAAAAAAAAGAGACAGCATAAACAAAGCAAAAGAGAAGAAGAAATGCATAATGTGAAGGAACACTATTGAGGGACACGAATGTGCAGCAAACATAGAGATAAATCAAAAAAAGTGGAACTCTGCTGCCGTGAGCATATTTTCATTGCGCTGCAGTGGCGTACGTGGCGTACGCGGAGTAGTATGAAGGAACCCCGTTAATTTGTTGAGGTGTACTAGTACTCGTTTGAATCCTCTAGCTTTTCATCGTTACTCTAATTTGACTACGCAGTTGATCAGATTTCATTCTTTGTCGACTTCGTCAACTCTTTATCGATTTTCTTATCGATGCATTTGCGTTTCAGTGAAAATTCATAGTTCATCAGTATCGAAACTGCTCTGAAAATTTCAGAAGTTCAGAAATATGTTAAAAAGGAGCAAATCCGAGCAAAATCAGCGTTAGCAGCTCGAAGCAGCTGAGAGAAGCTCACCAAAAGTGAGCTTCATATCGCGTAGCAGCGAGGAGCAGCAACGAGCAGCTGGGAGCAGCAGAGAGCAGCAAGAAGCAGCGCAGCATCGCTAGGTATAGCGGGTCTGTTTCGCGTTGGCTGCAGCAGCTAGGAGCAGCAGCGTCGCCTGGCGTCAATCGATACGCACAAAAGACGTTGCTGCTCGCAGCGTCTTATCGTCAGCTATAGCCACCCATCGTCAGGTATATCTCAAGCCTTAGTGCATGCGGCCCTAAGTGGCCCTGCACATTTTCGGAGAGGGGAGGGGAGAAGAGAAAAGGGCGGCAGGAGTTTTCTGGGCGCTTCACAGAATTTTTGCGAGCTTATAACCAAAAAATGAAGGAAAGGCGGAATGGAAAACTTTCCCGAAATTTTTTCCAAAACTGATTTTATTTACAGGAAACAAAGACTTATTTTATGCGACCACAATCAAACCATCTTCATGGTTATTGCTGAATGAATAGAGCCAGCTTGAAAACTGGAAGGAACCAAATTGAATCATATAACATTCAACAGACGCAAAAAACCGAGACGAGATGAAACATTAACAGTTGAAGACAGTGAGTGCATAAATCGATATTTGGAGAGGAAATCTGTGCAAAAAATATGCAGTTATTGGTTGGGAAAGCAATCTTTGTCTGTAAAAAGCATGGAGAAACAAGCTGAAATTCTTTAGTAGGTTGAAACAGGCTCCGGAAAAAAGCCGGCGATGGCAATTATGATAGAAGCTTCTGTATAAACAGATATGTGCTCTCCATAGATGTAATCGATTACGGTGCGTTTTTATTGGTTCAGCAAGAGGAAGAATGTTCCTTTGATTTGCAAACTCTTTATGAGCAACGGGATGCATTAAAATACTCTTGGTAGATGGCAAACACCTATTTTTGTAAATGATGCTGAATTCACAGATGGATCCTAGGCATGAGCTATTACTCAATTTCACCAACTGGTCGGGGGTGATCTTCTGTATGTTTCAATGAATTTCAAACTTCATAACCGCAAGTTTTTACAGAGACTTCGCTCAAACTCTTAGACACCCGCAAACTATGAAAAAAATTTCACTACATTTTTCTCAATTTCATCATTCTAGAAGGTGCATGACACATTTGCAAGTAGCAAGGACAGTTACTAAGCCATTAATCAATGAACTGAACTCTCTGATAGGGCTGCGATGATTCGGCAAACGTTTCTACGAAATAATGGGAGACAGAGCCGATACTTCTATGTACTTGAGCAAAGATTCAATGATATATTTGCAGGCAATTGTTCCGGTTTCCAGGTATGTAGGCGATTTCTAATCTTCGCGCCACTTTTATGATTGATGCTGTTGTTTTCTTCCACCTGAGATTGCAATGGAAAAGTGCGGCTGAGACAATGAATAATAACTCTTTTTTAGTCAAGCAAGAAGGCGAGGTGCGATAACCCCTGTTCGAGGGGTTTCCAAGTATAAAAGAAATCAAAAGTAATCAAATGTTTTAGTCCTGAGGAATTTCCTCCCAGATAAAGACTCGTTGTAAGAGACTGAATGCCATACGACCGGTTGAATATGAAATTCATACGATGAGTCCACTTTGTTCCTCAATATCATTGCAAAGCATTCAAAGACAACAGAATAGCGACTGAGAACAGTATTGAAACATGCAACACAACACTATTGAATAAGGTCCATTCAAAAGGCGAAGACGGAGGAAAAACCGGGATATTGCAGGAAACCTTATAGAAATGCAAAAGGCAAACAAAGATTCTGCCTTGATAAGTAGTGTCTCGAAGCGGACAAACTGAGATATTTCGGTCAAGTGAAAACTCTAGCTTAATGAATGACGGAGAGGAAGACTGCACTTCATGAAGTCAATAAAAAGAGAGGAGTATTATGACTACACTTGTAAACCACTGAATCAGCCAATATTACTAGCGCGTATATTAAAATGTGGTGGACGTGATTTTCGGGACATTTTATCTCACGTCAACTTTCTTGAATCAAACTGATTGTGAGATAATTTTCATGCTTTTTTATTTTGACGGAATCTAAGGGTCAGAGATGTGAAAGCTTTATTATTCTGACATCAGAGAGTTCGGTCATCTTACATCAGATTTCCGGTAGAGCGTCCCAGCATCTGTTGAGATGGTGTCTATTAGCATTACCGTTTGGTAATTTATAAAAGTTTTATTTTTCCACGCTTCAGCAGTATTCTAAGGTCACCCCATACCTCATTATCTCAAATGGGCGAGTACGGTTGCAATGTTTGCAACGAGGAGTACTCTGCCGTGGAAGAACGACGAACTCCGAGAGTACTAACAGGTGAGAGAACTTTTTATTGGTCAACAGTTAGTGCAGTTTTGGCTTACTGTACACTATTCTAATCAGGATGTGGACATACTATCTGTCAAGGATGTGCACAGTCCATTTGCCGGCCAGGAGTATCTTATATTATCTGTCCTTACGATAGGGTCACTACACCTGTTTCTGGAGGTAATCTCTTGCCACTTTACTTTGGTTAGAAGACGGTCTCATGGAGATTTTCCAGGAGAAGTCCGGAACTTGAAAAAGAATTTTGCCTTGCTTGAGTTAATTGAGAAAATTCAACAATCTCGTCAAGGCGGGCAAACGGTGGGTTGTTACTAATATTATAAGCGAGTCACAGCACCTAGAGACTGACGCAATTACGTCCGAAAAGATACTTCGTTTACGAAGAGACAGCAGACGGTGAGGGGGAGGAATTGTGCTTGATCAGAAAGACATCTATGATTCTTGGTAGGGCCCGTTTCGCAAGCAATGGTTCACTTTATTTTGATGTGCATCCACTATCACTCTTGAATGGAAGCCATATAATTGCTATATTCTACTCATAAAATGGTAGCAAAACATTCACTGGCCGAAATTACCAGTTTGGTCTATACTTGCCCATTAATACACTGCTTACAAAAGGCTGGATCAGCCAACCCTACCCTTTGATTCAACGGAATTGGCGGTTGGAAGGCGATCACTCGCACTCGCGACGCGGTCTGCGTCTCTTTCGGGAAGGCGAACGCTCGCATCCACGACGCATTCAGCGTCTCTTTCGGTGCTCTCTGATTAGCTAGCCTTAATCAAGGCTGAAAGCCCCGCCTCCCAGCCGCCAATCCCCTTGAATCATAGGGTACCTATTTTCTATTTGCCATGTATTACATTTTGATTTTTTTGCAGTTTTTTTCTGAACTCCTAAAACATCGCTGATAATTTCAAATAACATCTATCATCCACTATAAACTTCACTACCTTTGCCAAATATTTTTGTGCTTTTGAAATTCAAATAGAGAAGAGGTGTATCTGCTTTAAGTGAACAAGCGCGTGACGAGTAATGTTTTTTTTCAACGGGATAAGCTCTTGGATACTTTTTCTGAATAAAACTTAAGACACTAATCAGGTCCCTAGCTTGTCGTTGATTGCAGCATATGGGGAAAAGATAGTTCTGATATTTTCCTCCGTAGACAGACTGGACTATATCTCTTCTCTCAAAGACTTTAAGCATCACATTTATCTCAAATCAAATACATTTCTATTTCTTCCCCTCCTCCGGTGATATCTTCTCCTCCGATGGCTTGCTCACAATGTTTGATATAAAGTCTGTTAAATTGTTCAAAAAAGCACATGAGGATATTTTTTTGAATAAGATTTGAAGACAACAGTAAGGTTTCTGGCTTATGCTAAGTAAGGGATCGGCCATACTATTCCTGCTATTCCTACGACTCCTGCGATTCCTGCGATTCCTGTGAGTCGCGCACAGTTTAGACGCCGCTTAAATGAGCGCGTGTTGCGTAAAACAACACGTAACACGCAACACGCGCTCATTTAGGTAGGTGCCAGAGTAAGCGAATATTTTGTTCAAGTTGGGGTCCCGCGCAGAACTGGCATCATTAATCATTGTGGCATAATGCCAACTTGGCGTTGTGCCACAATGATTAGTAACGCCAGTTCTGCGCGGGACCCCAACTTGAACAAAATATTCGCTTACTCTGGCACCTACCTTAGGGATCGTTCATATCGCGCACAAAGGCGGACGAAGCCGGACGAAGCCGGACAAAGCCGGACGAAGGCGGACGAAGGCGCGTCTTGTCTCGTCTCGTTTCTCTCGACACACACATACACACACTCACACACGCCTCGTCTCGTTTCTCTCGACACACACACACTCACACACGCCCTCGTTCGCCTTTCTCCGGCTTTGTCCGGCTTCGTCCGCCTTCGTCCGCCTTTGTGCGCGGTATGAACGATCCCTTAAGCGGCGTATAAACTGTGCGGGACTCACAGGAATCGCAGGAATCGCAGGAGTCGTAGGAATAGCAGGAATAGTATGGCCGATCCCTAAAAGTATAGCTAATTCACCGCACGCAGAGAATGGACGCCTTTGTGGCCGATCAGGATAGCTCGTGATTGGGGAGACAGCCGGTTGGACGTATAAAAATGCATTTTATCTGAAATACGCTGATAGAGTCCACAACAACGTTATGTTTCTGCGTGTGGTGAATCGGCTATACATAAGCTTTTTTATAAAAGTCCCCGTGTTTGTTGTTTACGGAAATGCTAGTTAAAGGCAGTGGACAGGCAAAATGGACCCCTGTCAGATTTTGGTAGTTTCGGGTAGTGGAACCCCCCAAGTACACCGTAGCCCCAACCCCAACTTCCAATTGATGCGCTAAGTCCTGAAAAAAGCGCTTCAAACTTCCACCAATAACGCCCACTCAATGCAAGTGGGCGGGGCTGGTGGAGTTTTGAAGTGCTTTTTTCAGGACTTAGCGCATGAATTGGAATGTGGGGTTGGGGCTACGGTGTACTTGGGGGGTCCACTACCCGAAACTACCAAAATCTGACAGGGGTCCATTTTGCCTGTCCGCTGCCTTTAAGACATACTTTACAATTACGTTCCAACTAGCTTTTCGATGAACAACTTGGATTGGTTATACCCAATATCCTTTATTGAGTTCTATCTGTCTAGGTTGATCGTTACGCAAGAGATCGCTTGCTCGGGATTGAGTGCGACGAAGATCCTTGTCATACTGCTGTGTTATTCTGTACCGTTTGCGAAAGCCATCTTTGTGAAAAGTGCCTCTATTTTCCCTTGGGTTTTTCCACTACTTATGGGAAATTCTAGGTGTGCGGATACGTCGCATGACACTAATGTTCTTTCGAAGCATCGTCGCATTCCTCTTAGCGAAAAACCTGCGTCCACAGCTAATTGTCGCATACATAATTCATATCCTATCGAGTTCGTTTGTAAAGTGAGTTTATCTTGCTTGTTTTCTTTTCAAAATTTTCTTCACCCATCGTTGGTTTGCAGGAATCAGGTTGCAGCGATAAAAATGGTTTAATGTGCATTTTTTGTAGAGACTACGGCTTACACAAGGTCAGTTCTTACACTCATCTAAGTAAAGGACGATTCTCTGACTGCTTTTACCAGAACTCAATTTTATACGCAATCTTTCGTGCAAAGTTTTTTTTTCCAGCGTCAAGTGAAGATTTTGAAAGCTTTTTAGGGTCACGCTCATGTGCTTATTGAGAGGGAGACTGATGAGTTAAGGGAGAAGCTGCAAGAATCTATCTCTGAAGTGGCGAAAACTTTATCAAGAATAGATATACTGAAGAGACGCATGCAGAAGTAACTTTCTTACTTGTTGTGTCATTTTGCTTTAACCCTTTCCCTAATTTAGGGCCGTAAGTGAACTGTCCAGCATGGAGAGGGGATCATTCAGTGATGCTTTATCACAGGCGAGTGTCTTCACCTTACTTTGGACTTGATAAAAATTTTTGTGCTCATTGAACTTTTCTGAGATTCTGAGTTTTGGTGGAATATGCTCAGTTTATAGGTGCACTCACATTTCAACAGGCTCAGGGAGGCACTATGTCGTGATGAAGAAGCGGCAGTAAATAAGTTGACTACACACGTTACTTCAAGAGTGACTTCTTTGAATGCCTACATAGAAAATTTGAATGCAGTTTCGAACAAGGCAAGTGTGGAGATCGCGTTTTTGTCAGTTTACTTCGCAAAGGGCTTCTTTTCTCATGTCAAAGAAACACCGTAGCTCTTTATTCTACTTTTCTTATGTCGATTCGGAAAAGCTTGTTCTCAAAGAGCTCCTATCAGTTCATGCTTATTATCAAACTTTGTCCAGGAAAACTGTTCCGTTTCATCAGTCTTCAGATCTTTTTTGGTTTCCTCTCTCTTTTACTCCCTCCTTCTTTCTGTTTACTATCTCGTCCCTTCTTCTCTCAGTCGATAACATTTTTGCTGCAGAGCCAGTTTCATGTAATCTGTAGACTAGAACATAGGTTGAATCTAACGTATTCTCAGCTAAATTCAACTTCCGCTGAATTACAACGCAGCCTAGTTTTGGATCGGTCTAAGCTTGTGGAACGTAAAGGGGACTTGTTAGCATTAGCCGAAGCTGCAAATGCGGAAGAAGTGCGTTCTCCAGGTAAAGATTTCAAAAACTTGACTGTCATCTGATTAACTCCTTGATCTGCGAAGTAAATTCCAAGCTTGAGGCCTTTTTTGAGGTAGAGAAACGATACTTAATTAGGTTCTGCCTCTGCTGACTACTGGTCAGCGCGATGTACAACACTAGGGCGAAAGGAGCAGCAGTCCGAGGTGAAAGGCAGTGTCCGGGTAAAAAGTTGGTTTTGAGATTTCGTGCTTATCTGGGCCTACTCGCCTTGCTGATTCCGAAAATCCGCATTGGAGAGCGCGAATAAGACGAAAAAGGTGTCTAACCCAGGAGGAATACAGCAGGTGGGAGGGGTCTTCCCCACTGTGATTTCATGCTGCCAGCTCTCGGAGCAATCTCCTCGATTCCGCTAGCCATCCTGACATCGCTAACGGCCAGGTGCGAATGGGTGACTTGGAATCGGAAACGAAAAGATCGCTCAGGAAGCTGAGAGCGTGAATTCAACAGTGGTGAGGGCCCAGGCCATTTCCCTTCTGCGTTAGAACCCCCTTTTTCGCAGTCTTCTCGCTCTTCAATGTGGATTTTTGGATCCAGCCTAGCGAATAGGCTCGAGTAAGCATAAAATTTCAAAGTCGACTTTGCCCGGACACTGCCTTTAACAGTCGTTCCTCTACCCTCCTTTTCTTCCTATGTGCAACACTTCTAAAAATTATCTTGTTTATGTTTGGACATAGAATCTATTCTACCCGAAATTCGAACGTCAAGAAATTGTTTGCTTGTTTTGCGATCGAGCTATAGACTTTTTTTTAAAAGATGAATCGCTCTTATCGACCTTGATACCGTACTCCATTTCGCGTTCAAACCAACTTCATCTGGGCCAATACGAAGATGCACGAATCGTTATGCTGGGGCTCGATGGTGCGGGAAAAACTACTCTACTTCGTTCGTTAAGACGAGCTCCATTTGTACCCGATATATCTCCAACAAACGGGTAAATTTACGGTTTTTATCAAATGCTAAGTTCAAGATTGGTATCAAATGAATCACGAAATGCAACTGCTTACAGGTTTACGGTGGACTCAATTCATTATAAAAACTTCCGCCTCCATTTCTGGGATGTTAGCGGTCTCAATCGATCACGAGGTGTATGGAGGAATTACCACGCTAATGCACAAGGTGACCCCTCTTCTCCTATATTTTTTGGTACTTATTGTTAACTATCAATGCTTAATGAGTTAGCACGTTTGCGGGTTTTTTGTCTTTTGTACCTGCACTATCTCATCTAAACGATTCACCTTTCAGTAAAAGTGTAAACACTTTTGAAATGCTTGATTTTGATCTACAAACTTGCCAAGCTGCATGTCTCAAGAGTAATTTTGTCATCTTCGTATACTTTTTTGATCATGGTTATCTCCTAAGAGTTAGTTTTTGTACTACGAAAAAGATCAAACAAAATCACTTTTTTTGCGTTATGAGAACTGTTTTAAAGTAAAAATTCGGGTAAACTTTGAGAATTGGAATCATAAAAGAGAGGAGAGTTCCTTTTCAATACCTTGCCGTGAGTAACATCGGAGAATCCTCTCGTGAAGTGTACATTCATACAGGGTTGGGGGAAGTCCTTGAACAATTTTTGATGGCATTGTATGTTTGGGTTTTCCACATATTCTTGTACGCTTATCGAATATGTTTGCTTCTTACGCCTTTGAGTACAAGCCCTCCAAAAACAAGACTATTAGCTCTATTCCTATCGGAGATATGTTTTCTGGAACGGAGCGAGCGCTGGTGGCGAAGATGCACGAGGAGAGGATGGCTAACTAGCAGATTGCGCGGGTTCCTCAAATTTCACAGATCAGCGTCTTTTCCACTTTGCGTTGTTTCCAGGATATGGGCAGCACCCAGGACTGTTGTAGGAGTGGTAAATTGGCTATGGCGGACACTTACAAAGATCTGAAAATCGTTCGCCAGCGCCATCGTCGCAATCCTCGGTGAGGCTTGATTAAGCTGGCTTCAGAGCTGTCCATCTCTGGTAGGACAGTCTGACATCGTGGAACAGGGCCTTGGGGTGAAGCTTTTCAGGATGCTAAAAGTTCCTTCTTTTTGGGAGGACATGAAGTTGGATTGGCAGCACAAATGCACCTAATCACCTAATCGCCCCAAAAAGCCAATAGCAAGAGTTGATTAGTAGAACGAAAGCTTCATCTGGCTTCTGCGATGGTTTACGCGGCGATCGCTTCCGACGGCAGGATGTACCTGATTTTTAGGGTTTAATGGCAGTGGATCGGCAGAATGGACCTCTGTCAGATTTTGGTACTGTTAGGTAGCAGGCCTCCCAAGTACACCGTAGCCCAAGCCCCATTCTCCAAATCACGCGCCAAGTTTTGTAAAGAAGCTTCAAACTTCCACCAATAACGCCCACTCAATGGAAGTGGGCGGGGCTGGTGGAGTTTTGAAGCTTTTTTACAGAACTTGGCGCGTGATTTGGAGGGTGGGGCTTGGGCTACGGTGTACTTGGGAGGCCTGTACTAACAGTACCAAAATCTGACAGGGTTTATTCTGCTGATCCACTGCCTTTAAGGGCATCAAGGTGGACCCTGCTACGCATGTGGATAGCATCCTAAAGAAGGAATTGTTGGCCTGGACAACACCCATTTACCGGGAGCGATTGGTGCTCCTAGCAGGATAGCGCACCTGCGCACAAAGCGAAGGTTGTTCATACATGGCTTCAAAGCAACGTTAAAGGCAGTGCAGGCTAAATCTAACCCCCTCCGATTAGTGTCAGTCCTGAATGTAGGGCCCCAGAAAGAGGCATCTGCGTTGGTCCGGTCTTCTAACTTCCCTCTGAATGGAGATAAGGGGCCTGGAAGTCTGATATCAGACTCCGCCCAGCCAGGGTCTGCCTCTCGACACGTACTGACATGGCAGTGAGCAGAAGCTGCATGCCGACGAGGACGAGGGATTCGAAACTCGTCCGCGCCCTCAGGACAAGGTCCTTTTCCCAGGAATCGTTTTTTTGTGAATTTTGGAGAGTTTGAAGTTTGGAACTGTAATCAGGGCCACAGAAAGGCCCCAGAATGACGAAAACATGGGGGGCCAAATTTTGGGTGGATGCGCTTTTAAGGACTTCATTACTCCTGTGGTGACCTCCGTACCGGATCTGAACCTTCGACTACAGCGTGTGGCCAGTTCTTTAGGTCATAGCCTGCGCTCACCCACGCAAGACTGTGGAGTCTCTGCGACGTCCTCTCCAGAATGCGTGGGAGGAAGTTGACATAGAGCACCTCCGTGCCACCATGGACAGCGTTCTCAAGTGTTTCCAAGCTTGTGTTGGTGTCGAAGGAGGAATCTTCAAATTGTCTGTGGAGTCTCTGCGACGTCCTCTCCAGAATGCGTGGGAGGAAGTTAACATAGAGCATTTCCGTGCCACCATGGACAGCGTTCTCAAGTGTTTCCAAGCTTGTGTTAGTGTCGAAGGAGGAATCTTCAAATTGTAAAGTCAATTTTATGTAGCAGACAGTTGAGTAAAAGTTATTTATTGATTTCATGTAATTATCTTGCCTAGCTTCGTGACGATAAAAATACCATGTTCGAGGACTTCCCCCCCCCCCCCTCAACCCTGTAGTTCGATAATCACTACGTAATATATAACGAATTCGTTGTTTACCCATTAATCCTCTGATAGTTGGATTATGGCAAACGAGGAGGGCGCAGACGTAAAAATTATGATGAAATACACTTCTTTGGAATTGGATTGCTGCCATTAGCGGTGAGTAAGTCAGTTGGCACGATGCCAGATTTTCGTAAGCCTTTGGAATGGTGCCAAATTTCGTAAGTATGGCAACTGAAACAACACACATGCATAACGGCATGTTTCGGGCGTGTTTTCGATCGATATCGTCATTATTTTTCACGTCTGCAGTTTTGACCATCCTAGGAACTGCTCTAATTTCCACGTTCATTCTAGAATTTTTTCCAATAACTGTTGTTCTGAATTCTTCTCATTCGGGAATATGTTCTTTGATTGCTCTTAATAAGAGATTGTCATCGCCGAAGATTTAGTTTCTATGGAGAGGGGAATCTAATCTGACCGGAAATGCTTTCGCAATTGGATCATCATTTCTTGTGCTTCTATGTTCTTTGATATTTGCTTCTAATACGATTGTTATCGCCGAAAATTTTGTTTCTATGGAGAGGGGATTTTCGAGGTAGAAATTTGCCAAGCGTACTCCCGGTAACATCGGAGCTAAAACTGAGTTCATTACAAATTCGACTCTTCTGTGTGAGGTGTTTAGTATCTTGAAAACACTCAGTGAGAGAGATTTTACTCCAAATATGACATCCGCATGTAGGTACAAATAGCAGATACAAATGAGCAGATGTAATGGAACGTCTGAAAGAACTAACAAAACAAACGAAAGATGAGTGAGGAAATTTGTTTTTATTTTACTGAGATCTGAGATCAGTGATATCTAGGCACTGTATTTTCTGCAGGTTTGCTGTGCAAGAGAGGAAAACTTGTCACCGTTTTGGTATACAAAAGTCTGTTGAAACTTGATCGGGCAGAGAAACAGATTTTTGCATGTTGGGACTGTTCTTATAATTTTTGAACGGTCTTCAAGCGGCACGTAGGGCATGAACTGTCTTTTAGATAGATAATATTGATTTGTAAGCGGCACGTAGGGCAACCCGATCGGGCAGGGAAACAGATTTTTTTAATGTTTGGGGCAGTTCTTGTAATTTTTGAACGGTCTTCAAGCGGCACGTAGGGAGTAAACTTTATTTTTGAATAGTTACTATCGGTTTGTAAGCGGCACGTAGGGCAACCCGATCGGGCAGGGAGACGGATTTTTGTATGTTTGGGGCAGTTCTTATAATTTTTAAACGGTCTTTAAGCGGCACGTAGGGAATGAACTTTATTTTTGAATAGTTACTATCGGTCTGTAAGCGGCAGTAGGGCAACCCGATCGGGCAGGGAAACAGATTTTTATATGTTTAGGGCAGTTCATATAATTTTTAAACGGTCTTCAAGCGGCACGTAGGGCATGAACTGTCTTTTAGATAGATAATATTGGTTTGTAAGCGGCACGTAGGGCAACCCGATCGGGCAGGGAAACAGATTTTTTTATGTTTGGGGCAGTTCTTGTACTTTTTGAACGGTTATCAAGCGGCACGTAGGCAATAAACGTTACTTTTGAATAGTTACTATCGGTCTGTAAGCGGCACATAGGGCAACCCGATGGGCAGGGAAACAGATTTTTTTATGTTTGGGGCAGTTCTTGTAATTTTTGAACGGTTATCAAGCGGCAATTAGGGAATAAACTTTATTTTTGAATAGTTACTATCGGTCTGTAAGCGGCACGTAGGGCAACCCGATCGGGCAAAAACAGAATTTTGTACGTTATGGCAGTTCTTGTAGGTCTTCAAGCGGCACGTAGGGAATAAACTTTCATTTTGAATAGTTACTCACGGTCTGTAAGCGGCACGTAGGGCAATCCGATCGGGCAGGGAAACAGATTTTTGCATGTTTGGGGCAGTTCTTTTTATTTTTGAACGGTCTTCAAGCGGCACCTAGGGCATGAACTGTCTTTTAGATAGATAATATTGGTTTGTAAGCGGCACGTAGGGCAACCCGATCGGGCAAAAACAGAATTTTGTACGTTATGGCAGTTCTTGTAGGTCTTCAAGCGGCACGTAGGGAATAAACTTTCATTTTGAATAGTTACTCCCGGTCTGTAAGCGGCACGTAGGGCAACCCGATCGGGCAGGGAAACAGATTTTTGTATGTTTGGGGCAGTTCTTGTAATTTTTGAACGGTTATCAAGCGGCACGTAGGGCATTAACTTTCTTTTATTATAGTTACTATCGCTCTGTAAGCGGCACGTAGGGCAACCCGATCGGGCAGGGAAGCAGACTTTTGTATGTTATGGCAGTTCTTGTAGGTCTTCAAGCGGCACGTAGGGCATGAACTGTCTTTCAGATAGATAATTGGTTTGTAAACGGCACGTAGGGCAACCCGATCGGGCAGGGAAACAGATTTTTGTATGTTATGGCAGTTCTTGTAGGTCTCCAAGCGGCACTTAGGGAATAAACTTTCATTTTGAATAGTTACTCTCGGTCTGTAAGCGGCACGTAGGGCAACCCGATCGGGCAGGGAAACAGATTTTTGTATGTTTTGGGGCAGTTCTTATAATTCCTAAACGGTCTTCAAGCGCCACGTAGGGCATGAACTGTCTTTCAGATAGATAATTGGTTTGTAAACAGCACGTAGGGCAATTTGATCGGACAGGGAAAGAAATTTTTTACACGTTTGTGCAGTTCTTATGATTGACGGTCTTTGGGTGGCTCCCTTTTGTAGTAAAGCTTCATAATCCTTCAGCGAAAAAATAAGGATTCTTTAACAAAGTTCTTAGACGATTGATTTCGTTGCTGTCGGAATTGATTCTGAGAAAAAGTGTTTTTTGTAGTACACTAATTCTTATGGTGTATTTCTACTTCCAAAACGATAGATGTTCTGCTACTTACTTAACGATCTTTTATGGAACTTGTTGAGAAGAACTGAAAGAGCAAATTCTCTTTGAGAGGGTAGAAAAGTGGGGGGGGGGGGTATCTGAATGTCTCTGTGAGGAGGGGAGTTGCATAAAGAGCGTGTAAACGAGATAAGAATAATATCATGCATGGTTCTGGCAGGAATTTCGAGAAATGCTGAATGATTTGTGGAAATTATCGCTTCTTCGAGCAGTTTTCCTTTTGTAGAATCCTCTTCGCAAAAATGTTCTCAGGAAAAGAACAGAAAACTTATTCAGAAATATTTTTAGTCACAGCTAAGCCCTTATATTGTATCTGCCCTGACCCACTTGCTAGCGACCCGTAGGGTCGCTAGTTAAGTATATAGAATGTTTGAGTTGACAGAGCTTTAGTAGTCTGCGTGCATTCTACCATATATTTGTACCAGTGGCGTACCCAGGATTTCGGCTCGGGGGGGGGAGGGGGCGCGGCAAAAAAAATTTTTAAATGGAGGTGCGTGGCGTCCACGCACTCCGAAAAAATTTTAGGGGGGCTTCTTAACAATTCTGCGGTCCCCCAACCCCTAAAATCTGGAAAAAGGGGGCGTGGCGTGAGCCACGCCCCCGAAAAAATTTTTTTTATAAGGCTAATTTGAATTTTTAAAAAATTTTAAAATTTATTTTAATTGTTTACAAAAATAAACAAGTCATTTGCACATTTTTATAACGCATGTAAGTAACTTTCAAAAATTTCGCGACCCGTTCTCGGGGGGGGGGGGGGCGCGGCGCCCCCCCCCCCCCGCCCCCCCTCGGTACGCCACTGATTTGTACACTGTAGTCAAGCGGTCTTTTTAGCTATAGTATTTGTTGTCGACAGCAGTGCTCCTGAAAGATTTCCTGAAGTAATTCGTGCTGTAGAGGAAGTCCTAGAGGATTCTCATGCAGACTCCTGCCAATTCATGCTTGTGGTAAACAGGAAAGCGTAAGTCACAAATGTGTCCTCTGCTTATGGATCAACTCGAATAATGTCTGTTTAGAACCGAGCACACCCCTGCTTGCCCGTCGGTTGCCTCACTGCTTGGTTCCCTTTCTCGTTTTGGCCAACCGGTCAAGGTTCATTACTGTGATGCTGCTAGCGGAAATGGAGTACCTGAGTTGCTCGATTATCTAGTCGATTCATTGATTCCAGGAAGAGATGGTCTTTGATAATCCACTGACCTAAAGATAATATCAATATTATTAGTTTATGCAATTCACTCTTTGTTAAAAGTTCTAATATCTTTTAAGCTTGCGTGGCAAAAATCCGAGTTCAAAGAAGATTGTTTTTAATAATTGAGTCGGACCTTTTGATGTACTGCTTTATCTTAAACTCGTGAGCTATGGTGATTTTGATGGCAAATTAATTTGGTTCGAACATCTGAAAATGCAGCGGGTTACAGTGCTGTTTTCAATGGAAATCTCTTACGGATAAAACTGGGGAACGTGTGGTAGTAACAGATGGGTAAGATTGAGATGTAGAAATTGCATTGTTGTAGTGATTCATAAGTATATAACGTTGGAAGGAGACAATCGTATGATGTGGCAGTGGGTTTACTGGAGTAAAGCGCTTGCATTTCTGTTGTTTTCGAGCTTTTATGCAAGTTGAATGATGAATCGGTCTGAGTGTATTTGATTCGATCGGATTTCTCGACTTTTTAATTCCGAAACAACCTAGCAACAAGCGGTTTATCACAAACTAGCTGGCTTACCCGGCTCCGCCCGGGCCTGTCAAAACACTATGATAAAGGTCCCATCCATCTCCCTGTACGACCTTTTCTTCTGCCCTCTTCTACACGCAAGTTCCCCATTCCCTCTGTGTTGGTAATCAGTATGCTTACTTATCTCCCCCCCCCCCTCCTCCTGTGCCAACTCCCAGCCCTAGGTCAAATTGCAAAAAATCGGTAAAATCTATAAAAGTAGTGCATAATTCTGAAAACTATATTGTATTCGTAATGGCATGCTCACTTAACCCCTCTATTCCAGTGCCCAACCCCGTAGCTCGTGAAATCTAGCAATGTATTGCAATGCAATCAGCATGCTCCCATCCCTGTCGCTCGAAATTTCCAAAAAATCGATAAAATATGAGGAAGTAAATTTGTAAACTAATATTTATTCGTAATCAGAATGCTCACTTACCCCCCCCCCCCTTATGCCAGATCCCAGCCCCGCAGGTCACACTTTACAAAAAGTCGACAAAAATCGATAAAATCGATATCAATCAATGATGAAAAGTAGCCTACGACACTCGCCCCGCCGTATGTGTGCCAAGTTTGGTCCGGATCCTGTTGAAATAGAAATTTGTAGTCGGAACATACGTACACACAGACAAACAGACAAACAGACATTCGCTTTACAGCATAGGTGCGATAGTCTGAGAATTTCCTCACCCCACTTCACCCCTGAGCCTGAACCAAGGTGACCCCCTTCACCCAAAGCCGAGAAAAAAAATTAACAACGAGGTAAGGTTAAGCAAAGCAGATATTTGTACGTGAATTGTTTATGTGTAGGAAAGGAGGAGTCCGTTGAAAAAAGTGCTAGGTGACGGGTGTGAGTAGTGATATCTGAATATTTTCGAGTTTTTAATATAAAAATTCATAACTTTTATAGATGAACATCTCGTACGCCGCGATGGCCACGATTGAAACCGCCTTGTCCTCTGCTTTCAGAAAATATGTACTTTGCCTGGGATCAGTTGAAAAAAGTGTCTGGGTGAAGGGTGGGTGTCTTAGTGATTTCTGGGGATTTTCGAGTTTTTAACATAAAAAAATTCGTAACTTTTGTAGATGAACATCTTGTACGCCTTTTGTATATGCAAAGATAAAGCCCGTTCGATGGAATAACAACGCTATTGTAGAGCTATAGTGCGTGGAAGAGCAACCTTTTCGTTTTTGAGCCAAATTCAGGTCCCAAAAATCCACGAAAAGGCTTTATCCTCGAGACGAGTGCGATATACGGGATCAGACGGCGAAAAGGGCACGCTATTCGTATCAGCGTGCTTAGGAAACCTTCTAGTCAAATTTGAGCAATAGCCCACCTATCGTATATCCACCGTAGCCCGAGAAATGGCGCTATCGTGCTAATCATTATGATGTTCATGTTTAGCGTGCCAAATAACCTCCCTAGACGAAGTTTGGTACAAATCCGTGATTTTGACCCCCTACCGCAATCCTACCGTAACACCACCGGATGGCGCTACGGTGCGAAATAAGTGTGATATTCGTAATCAGCGTGCAAATTAACCCATCTAGACGAAGTTTCAGCAAAATCCGCTACTTTCGTCTTTTGGACAACTAATGTGCCGGTTTTTGACTTGAACTATTTCTCTGGTTTCGCGTTAATCGATTATGGAACATTAGCGAATCAGTTTCCTGATAAAGAAGGTCGAAAATGGGCCAACATTTGCTGTCTTACCAACTACAGCCAATGATTGCGCTGGCGCGCTCCACGGCTAACGAGTCCCTCAACGTTTGTCGCGTACCGGATCTCATTGACGAAACTGTAATTAGTAAAGACAAGCGCTGCCCTAATGCCAACCAAAATTTGGCGGCCATCTCGGGTCTTTCCCCAAAGGCGCACTGGTAAACCTTGACGAATCATGTTTTATTGTAGCCTGACAGAATTTTTTACTTAACCGCATCTTTCCTTAAACCAGACTTGTCACATTTATCAGCTTTAGATCGTTCCAATCAGAATCTCTCATTTGCGAGCATATGCCTAAGAACACGGTCGGAGGTGGGTAAAGCACAAGCCGTTTAAGTTGCACATCGACCAGAGATCGTATCAGATGGATTGGAATTGTAAAAAGCTTCATCTGTAGTGTTTAACAGTTTTCCAAGGTTTCATGTTTCAGCTGGCACGCATTCTTGATTCATCGTAGCTGCTCGCCTCCATTAAACTTTATTTCGCTCCACTTGGAAGAAGTTTCTTACAGAAATGGCAGCAACGACAGGTATCGTTCTAAAGGATATTCGTTGACGACTGTCCCGACTCGTGCAATTACATTACCGTGGGCGTGCCTTTTTGAAGCCTTTCGCCTGACAGTACCTGCAGCGTGCGGGGAATTGGTAGTTCGCAGCAGCACTGTCCTTTAACCTCTTGTTGATTTAAGCATTTGGCACCGCTTTTCTTCTTACAAGGGAAGGATACTTGGTTGAAGTGGCGTTTCCATAAGAAATGTACACTGTCTTACAAAGCACGGAACGCTAATTCCGAATCTGCTTTCGATATCTGCAAAGCGCTTCTGGGAAGGAAGTTATGGAAATACGCAAAAATTTTGAGAAGACGCAGCTACAATAAAATCTTTTAGAACTGTGTCTGTGAGCTTGGAGGGTATCATTACTCGAGGGCGCTTCTTGCAGTTGAAACCCTCATTCCACTGAATTTGAGCTAGTAGTTACTCAATTTAAGCACCGGAAAGACCTCATCACTTTTTACCTTAACAAAGCTTGCATTTTTGTCTCAAGAAACTCTCGTAACTCCCATCCCAAAAGCGCTTTGCAGATACCGAAAGCGGATTCGGAATCAGCGTTCCATGCTCTAAGATAGTACACATTTCTTATGGAAACGCCACTTCGACCAAGTATCCTTTCCCTGTTAGTTTTCACATTTTTGCCATTCGTTTTCCTTTTCTCTTAGGTCCTCTCGATGATCAAATATCCTACCTCTTCCTTTGATGAATTCTGGCAAGGGAAGTACTTTCAATGGCCGTGGCTTTTTGATATGAGATCATACCATTTGAAGCAGCTTCGAACGCTGATTCTAATTCTGCTTTCCTTTTCTGCGGAGCGCTCTTCTGAAGAGAGTTATGGAAGCCTGAATATCCTGTTTTGGGGCACTCCTTAAGTTTGAAACGCTGCTACGTGCGTTGGTGGTGCAGTGGTGTAATGGTTAGTTGTTGGCATTGCAGGCGAAAGGTCGATGGTTCGAATCCGGTCTGAATGGATTCATTTGAAGGGTTTTGAATTCAATTGGAACTATTGCCACTCCAATATTGTTCTCTTAGTAACTTAATGGGCATTGCGAGCATGAGAATTGCGCGGAGGTCTTTTCATACGCTGTTCCCGTTGTGAAAAATGTCTGTGCTTTGCTCACTTTGTAATTTCGCTTCACTGTACATGAATTTTTTTGCGGAGAAAACCAAATCTCAACAAGCAAGCGGTTCTGCCAGAAAATTTTTTCCCTAAGTCACATTTGCGAAGGGCATTACAGTAAGTGTCTGCAGACGAATTACAGTGGTTTCTAAACTCACATTCAAACTGCAGAACGGTTCGCTTACCGGATTCGAACCCCGACCTTTTGCCTTCAATGCCAACAACTAATCATTACACCACTGCATCACCAACGCACAAAGCAGCGCTCTCTAACTTGAGGATCGCCCCCAAAATAGGATTTTCAGGCTTCCATAACTCTCTTCAGAAGGGCGCTCCGCAGAAAAGGAAAACAGATTTAGAATCAGCTTTTGAAGCTGCTTCGATTATATGCATCTCATATCAAAAGGCCACGGCCATTGAAAGTACCTTCCTCGTGAGAGGTAAGCAAGAAATCAGTTCAGGTACATTTACTAGATTTCTCTCCCTTTCTACCACCAAAAACTCATTTTTAAGATCTTGAATCAACCCCCGGGCAGAATTACCCTAATTTCCAGAGTATAAGGCGCACCTATGTATAAGGCGCACCTGCCGCGCGCGAAAGCGCGGAAAGCGTAGAAAGCGTAGAAAAAAACGTAGAAACCACCAGGGGAGGAAGAAGAAAGGGATCGCGGCTTGAACTGATTGCTGAATGGGTACTTCAAAGTTTCCAAGAAGTCAGTGTCGATTCTATCTTAAATGGATTTAATGAAGCCTTGACAACAGATATAGACTCAAACGATCTCAATGATAGCTTTAACTCAATGAATTGCGAAGGTAGTAACTGTACGGGTGTTTGAGTCTTTACTTTTTGTTGTGCTGAATGTAATAAAAGAATTTGTTTCAAAACAACTCATGATTACAAGAAATTCAACTGCAGAAAATCGTGAAAAGTCAGCACTTCGCGACGTCGCACGTCGCTCGGCGTCGCGAGGCCGCGCGCGGTGCACGAAAATGCGCCTTATACTCTGGAAATCAGGGTAGTTGAAAGAGTGTGCTTTATTTAATATCAGTGGTGGCTATCATGCATTCATCGTAAATGAGATCACTCGGATATTTATTTTCAGCATTACACGGTGTCAAGATGTAGGCATGCTGAAGTGACCCCTTCAGAGGTCTGTAATAAGAAACATGCCAAATGATTATAAAACATTAACGAAAAGATGCAGTTTCAATCATAGCCATGATCCCCCCCCCCCCCCCCCCATCGGAACTCCGAAGAAAGCTCATTCTTTCTCTTAAATTTGCCTTTGGCGATGGGCTCACATAGGCATTAGAAACAGTAATGACCTGAAATGAAAAAAAAGAAGAAAAAACGATGTGAAATGCTTAGCAAACGAAAGAGGTTAAAGGACAGGGATGCTGCGAGCTACCAAGTTCCCGCGTGCTGCAGCGTACTTTCAAGCTGGAAAGGCTCCGAAAAAGCACGCACAAGGTGGTGTAATTGCACGAGTCGGGGCAGTCGTTGACGAATATCCTTTATCCCTGCTATGAAAGGGGCGGAACTCTGCAGACATTTGGATCGTTGGCAAACTTGCAAAACTTGAGAAACGAACTTCAAATCATTTTTTCGAGAGTTTCTGCCATTAGAAATTCCTAGGCATAGAGGCATTGTCAAGCCTCTATCTGCTTCATAACAAGGAGCGAAACTTACGAGGAATGGTCACAATTTACCCAGCCATTTCCGAACTAGTTGTATATCATCGGAACGTCTGAAAGCGCTGGTTTCGAATATATGTTTTTTATCTGCCAAGCTACCTCTGGGAGGAGTTATGAGCGTTCAAATATGAGAAATTTTTCGAGTTTAGACGAACCTACCTTAGTTGAATGGCAGCCTGATGGTGCGAATTTACAGTGGCTAAGATTATCTAATCATGAGGAAGAAGCACATCCACCAAAAACCTGAATAAGTGTTTTTGAAACTTATTTCGTGGTACATGCGCCACAGAACCTTGACAAATCGTACATTCAAACGCTCATAACTCCTCTCAGATAGTCGTTTGGCAGATAGTAAACATATACGTGTAATCAGCATTTTAAAACGAGATGATATACAGCCTGTTTGATATGGCTAGGTTAAGTTCTGACCATTTCGTGCTTAGATACAAGTAGTGCAGGTATGATTCGCCGCGAGCTGATAGTGCGTATCAAATTTTTTTTGGAACGAAGAAAGTAGAACTTCGTTTGATTGTCTTACACCTTTCCCAACTCACAATCAGAATGCTAAAAAGTTGTGACAGGTTTGTTGTTGTTGAGAACCGAAAGGGAAGGGAATGAGACAAATCTCCATAGAAAACCCTTTGATTTCAAATCTTTTGCAACCTGGTTGGGGTGCCCTGTCTTATAACCTAGTTACAGAGAATTTTCACGTTTGAGAGTTCACCAAATTGTTTAAATTATTTCCAAGGGGAAACAAAGTATGTATTAATGCACAACTCGCTTGGCCGCTTTCAAATATAACTTACACTTATCGAGGCGTTCCCTCGTTTTGACTGCCACTGAGATCCAAACATAAACAGAGTAGAATATCCGACTCATTTGCGCTTACCATTTTCAGGGACTAACTTCACAAAAAATGAGTTACCAAATTCCTCAAGCTTCACTCCGATAAGAGAGACAGCGACTACACTGTAAGTCAAAAAATACTATATGATGGAACCTGCAGATATTAGGTCGTTCCGAAAGTTCTTTCCGTTTTTTCAACCTATCATAAAATCGCGTGGAATGAAGGTAGGGAAACGCTTTAGAGACTATCCGACGCAGCTTTTCTTTCTCTTTTCAACCGTCGTATTTCTGTGCCGCTTGCTCATGTGGTCAGTGAGATAATCGCTGAAGTTTTGAACACATGGTTTTTACCATGTCCAAATTTGGCAATTTTTCACAATCTTCGTTTTTAACATTCGGAGAAGCCTTGATAGCAAATGAATAGAGTAAACGAAATGCAATGCAATACATTTTTTGTTGATTCCAGCTGACTTTTCAGTATTTTTTGAGATAATTTTTCCAAAAGTCTTCACTTTTGCAAAGTCCTAAAATACAGAAACGCCCCGAACACTGGCAAGTATACGGATTTTGAAGCTTAAAGTCAGTTACGATTATCCACAATTTTTACAAAGCAACTGAGCGTTTACCGCTTGTAAATATAAGGTTTCGCATTTTACGTGTACAGGCTGGGACGGGTTCAAAACCAAGAATTATGGAAAGTTTATCGCCAAAGACCCCGCAAATTGGAAAGAAAATACATTCATTAGAAAGAGAAGGAAAAGCTGCATCGAATGACACCTTAGTTGTGCGCCGTCTTATGTTCAATGGCTCTTGGCGTCCCCAAAAGTGGAATTTGATAGCATCAGAAAAATAATTCTAAAAAAATTTTAAGGGTAGTTATAAACGGCGAAAAATTGCATTAAATTGCACATTGTTTGCTCTATCTGACTGCTATCAAAGCTTTCGTAAAAGTCAAAAAAGAAGATTGTGAAAAATTGCCAAATTTGGACATGGTAAAAACCATGAGTGCGAAATTTCGGTCAAATGTAGTCATTATCTCACTGACTCAAGAGCAAGCAGCACAGGGATACGACAGTTGAAAAGAGAAAGAAAAGCTGCGTCGGACAGTGCCTAAAGCGTTCCTCTACCTTCATTCCACGTGTTTTTGTGATAGGTTGAAAAAAACGGAAAGAACTTTTGGAACGACCTATTCAAGACACGTTTGCATTTTTAGTGCCAGCAGCCCAACTTATGCATCATTTACAAATGTTCCTGATTATGTTAACAATACTACCAAAAGGGTGAGTTCATTCAAGCTGAATTGTTTTTAAGTACCTGCTTGCTTACTGGACATTTTCAAATACTGCAGACAACATATAACTGTGCATATTCTATTTATTTATTTATTATATGCACTCAAGGTGCGCCATTAGAAAGAAAGAAGGCAGAAACACAAACACAAAGCCTAGCCAGTAACACAAATTGGTAGGAACTCGCTGCCTGCTAACCAGACTTCTATAGTTGATAAGAATGGTGTTCAAAGAAGGCTAAGGCAAAAGGAATCACATCATATAGTAGTACTAGCTGGCTTACCCGGCTCCGCCGTATCCGGACCAAACTTGGCACACATACACTTCGGGCCCCGGCAAGTGTCACAGTCCACTTTTCGTTATCGATCGATGTCGATTTTACCGATTTTTATCGATTTTTTTGCAGAGTTCACCTACAGAGCTAGGAGTTGGCACAGGGGGGGGGGGGGGGGAAGTGAGCATGGGGATTCCGAATACAATATTAGTTTTCAGAATTATCGATTACTTTTGTTGATTTCATCGATTTTTTGTAAATTTTGACATGCGAGGCTGGGATTTCGCACAGGGGGGTAATCGAGCATGCTGATTACGAACACAATATTAGTATTCAGGATCGTCCATTACTTTTATCGATTTTATCGATTTTTTTTGTAAAGTTTGACCTGCGGGGCTGGGAGTTTGCACAGGGGGGTAATCGAGCATGCAGATTACGAATACAATATTAGTTCTCAAGATCGTCCATTACTTTTATCGATTTTATCGATTTTTTGAAAATTTGAGCTAGGGGGCTGGAATTTGGCGCAGGGGTGTAATCGAGCATGCTGATCACCCCCCTTGGGGATGATCAGCATGCTCGATTACCCCCCCTGTGCAAAATCCCAGCCTCGCATGTCAAAATTTACAAAAAAAATCGATAAAATCGATAAAAGTAGTAGATAATCCTGAAAACCAATATTGTATTCGAATCCCCATGCTCACTTACCCCCCTTTGCCAACTCCCAGCTCCGTAGGTGAACTCCGCAAAAAAATCGATAAAAATCGATAAAATCGATATCGATCGATACGAAAAGTAGCCTATGACACCCGCCGGGGCCCGAAGTGTATGTGTGCCAAGTTTGGTCCGGATCGGTTCAGAAATGGAATTTTCTATTCGGAACATACGTACACACAGACATACAGACAGACATACAGACATACAAACAGACATTCAGCTTTATATATAAGATAGTAGCACCGTTCTGTCACTAATGCACAGGAGCGCCAGTGAGTTATCATCAACAATATTACTCAGTGCAGCCTATTAGATACTCTACCAATTCGAGAAAATTCTATTTTTTCACCAGTAGCTTAGACATTCAAGAATGTTTAGTCAGTCGTAGTGCCCAAAATAAGGAGCATGATATGTTACCATGGTGGATTACCAACAACATGGATTTATCACTTTCGAGTGGTTCGCATTCGAGGTAGTACCTAGGCGATATGGCTAGACCACGCATACCTGATCAAGTAGAAGTGAACGTCACTAGGGTGTGATAATTAGGGTTCCTCCGCAATGATTGTTTTGGCTTTTCTCCAATGGCTTATCCTATTTGGAGAGATTTGTATGTGCTTTTGAAAGCTCTAAGTTTTTTCTAGAGATTTATGGTCGTCATTTACGGTACTCACCTTCGTATGAGAACTCCAAGCAGGCGAAGATCCATTCTTAACATCTTTGTTTTATTCAAGTTTTTCGTTTTTCATCAAGATCTTGTCAAAGAAGCCTGGAAATCAACAATAAAACAGCCTAGTCCACATCTATTGTACTGGGATCGTTTGTGCTTGTCATTCTTTCCACCAACATTTTTAATAACATAATTCCAAGACAGCGGAGCAAGACGTTGTCACGACGACGTTCGTCGTTTCGCGTATACCTGACATTGAATTAACCCAAAAATTGATTGTTTTCTAACCTTGACCATTCTCTCTGCCAACCCGTGAATTAACCGTCTACCGTCTTCTCTCAGGACTGCCTCCAGAACGCGCTCATCGTTTTTACACATTCGGAAACGCTATATAAAGCTTAACTTTTTTCAAAAGTTTCCTTGCGTTCTCTACCTGTATGAAAATGATTACAATCCACAAAGAGTGTTGAAAGTCGTAAAGAAGAGAGTGGAACAAAGTAGAGTATATAAAGTGGGACCAAAAAAGAAGTGAGAAGTGGAAACAGTGATTCAAACAGAAACCCGATGTGGCGTGGACTCCGCACGTTGCAGCATACTGTAGCGCTTGCGCATGGGCTGCGATTGCAAAACTCTAGCTGTTCCCCTTACATAGATTACGTGTGTAATTGCACATTTTGCATTCGAACGTTTAAAGACACTTGCGGCTAGAGTGAATGTGCAAGGTGATTTCTATTAGCCATAAGACAAATCATTAACATCAGGCTCCTCTAGGTAAGAACTCACCTTGTAAAAGAGAAAGAGTGAACTTTGAATAAAAATGAAAACCTCTTTTTTGGGCTTAGACGCAGATGGTGTACAGTTGTACTTACCTTCATTTTAGTTACGCACACTTTAGCATGTTTTATATAGTCGTCCTCACCCCACTAGTCGGTCGGTGGTCGAATTTAAATTCGAATTGTAACAGGTCACCCGCGGCAGAGCGCGGCAGACCGCCCCTCAGCCAACCGCTTGCACAAGAGCTTTCCTTTTGATTTCTTCGTGTCATTGCTCTCTCTCGTATTGCGGCAGTGTTCTTGATCAGATTTTTAGATTTCGTACGGCTAACTATTGTTCTGTGCAATTGTACTCGTTTGTTTTACTTTTTTCCAGGTAAACCGGGAAGAATAGAGATTTGTGGATGAGAAATATCTTTTCCGGTAAGTGAAATAGACACAAATGTGATTTGATGAGTTTGTGATGATTGTGTCACGTTTTTCGTCAGAATTTTGGACTATTTTTTGCTAGGGCTGAAATCTTCTCAAAAAGTGTTTGTTTTAAAGAGTTAGTGGTACGAAATGTGAAAATCTGATTAAGAACATTGTCGTAATACGAGAGACAGCAAAGAAACACAAAAACAAAGAAGAAAATAAGAAAAAGGCTCGTGCAAGCGGTTGGCTGAGGGGCGGTCTGCCGCGCTCTGCCGCGGCCGGCCTGCTCCACTTCAAATTCAAATTCGACCACCGAGCGACTAGTGGGGTGAGGACGACTATAATATATCTTCGAAGTGCTTTTCTATTCAATGAATTTGAGTTAAGGTCGGCGAAAATATTCGATGGAAAGAAACTGCATTCTTGGCGGTGGCGGGCTCTCTCATCTTCCTCTTTCTCGTACTAATCGGCATACTACTTTATCTTTTGAGAATTAGAATAAAATCCGGAGAAAAGTGCTCAGATATATTTAAGATAGGATGAATACTATTTAAGATGTGCAAAGCATATATGTGTGTATTTTTGAATAAAATAAATATGGTTTGAAACTTCTAAGACACTTCCAACATAGAGAGAGAATTCTTCATGTCTAAGCATCAAGACTAGCTATAGTAAAGTTCGATCAATTCAGTTGATCTGAACTGGAACCCTCAGTTGAGGTCCTGCCGGGGACATGACGACCGCCCGCCTTCCCATGCTATAATGCAAAGTGGGATGAGAGTTGATTATCTGTTTACCTGCCATATTGAACTGATGCACTCTAATTAGTTCAAGTTCAATTGAGACATGAACTGATTGAGAGCGCAAATAGCGCAAATGGTGTAGAAAAGATGAGATGCAGAGGACATTCCCACAAGTTGCTCATGTGTAGCCAACAATACACGCCACTTTTGTGTAGCAATGCGGACATCGGCGCAAAACTGCAACCTCGGGCAGAATTCACGCGATTTGATCGTCGCGATTCAATCGCTATAAGACAAATGTAACGAGTTCATTGCATGCCCATCTTCTTGCATTTCGGTTGTGATAGTTGGTCACTATTAGTCGTGTTGGACAACTATCATAACCGAAATACAATAAGATCGGCATGCAATGAACTCGTGACTTGTCTGTGGCGATTGAATCGCGACGATCAAATCGCGTGAACTCTGCCCGAGGCCTAAGGATAGGGAGGAAATGATTAGCTGATCGCAGGCACGGAAAAAGAAAAGCAGCTTTTGCCGTTTTTTGGCTTTGCTTAATTTTTTCTGAAAGTTGCATAGATTATTATTTATTTGTCTCATTCTCTGTTCCAAAAATGTTGCTTTTCAACGAATCATTTCAAAATATCACGATTTTGCTATATTTGTTCGTTTGCTAGGCGAAATCGATTACTGATGACCGCAGCAAAGATTGCGCAGCAAATATGATATTGCTAGACGGTCTCGAACCATGGTCGCCGCAATTGCAATGTAATTATTAACCTATTCGACCCATCTGCACAAGTGGTACCACTATTTCTTCTTAGAGAACGCGTCCTTTTTACATCTACAAAGGATTAGCATCCATATCGATAGCTCGCCGTATGCTGGATTGAGGTGCCAAAAGATCGACTCAGCACGCCTCAAGGGAATGCCTTGACGGGTTTACTATGGGCTGTACTTTTTGCTCTGAAATGTCAAGGGAAAAACACTTTGTAAGTTTATTATGACTGGGACTTGTGTAAATATATAATTTTTGAAGCTTATGTGGCGAATCAACTCTGCGCTCATTTTGCCCAGCGATAGCATGAGTGCCATCGCAGTTGTGAAAGGATGACCAATTAAGACTATAATAGGACTCCTACCTAGATGGAAAGAAGGCACCCAAGAACTTTCAAAAGAGAAAGGTCTTACAGTATATGTACTACCGATAGACAATTTGAATTACGTGAATTTTTGTAATAAAACTGTGAACGATTGTGTACTTATCCATTAGTAGAATGTTATATAAGTAACTGTGTGAAGCACTATACATTTTCCTATCCTCCTTAGGTGTATTTCAGTAGATACTTGTTGATTCTCAGACTTGTGCTTTTCCTTTTCTCTTGCCTTTAGATTTCGAACTTCCTAGATCTTTGTATTACTAATTAGGGAGGACACGAAGTCAAAATCGGCTCTCCACATGAAATATACACCAATCTGAAGAGCAACAAACTGATTTCAAAACTGTCTTTGTTATCTGCCAAGCACCTCTAGACGCTGAGTTATGAGGGTATTTATCTCAAAATACTGGAACAAGTTCGTTCAAGTTTGCGCAAATGGCCCAGCGTTGATTATCAGAGCACTCTAAGCATGAAAAATATTTTTGCTCAATATATTCGTACTCAACAATTTTTTGAGCGCTGGAAACAGCATAATCATTGATTTCACCTAATTCTGCTTTCATTTTTCGCTCCAAAAACACCCCTAAAAAACGGAGAAATTTTTGGAATTAGCGTTTGATGGTCTTCAGATTGATATATATGTATTTCGTTCAGGAAGACGATTTTGACTCTGGGTGCTCCTTGAGTTTCATCGGCCTAAAGAACCTTCCTGCCGCTGGCCGACTACACTGGAAACCTTTCAAATTGCATTGCCGCAGCAGAAAAACGCTCAGTTGGGGGCTATTTACCCATTGTGTAATTTCGTGTTTGGGCAATAAATCGCTTGTTGGGATTTTTTTTGTTGAGGCTGGCATAGTTAGAGTTTAATTAGACCTAAATTTGAAATCGAAATCGCTATGTTCTTTCTACATTCTATCAGTAAGTTCTGAGTGATATTTGCCACCTTGGGAACACAACTCGATGCGTATGGGGAGTTTATTTGAAGAGAGCCTTTTTTGCCAGCCCCGGTTGGCCTTGGTATTTATAACTTCGTTTAACACTGTTCCTTGTTGAAACGCTGTCAGTGATTTACAAAACCTTTCCGCTTGAGCAGGTAACATGAATGTCGAATTTTATGATCACCTATAAACATGCTGGCGAAGTGTCGTTGTTTGGAGCATATGGGAAAAGATAGTTTTGCATTTTTTTCCAAATACAGACTGTTCGTACCTCTTCTCTCAATGACTTTAAAAGCACATTTATCTCAAATCAATACATCTTTATTTCTTTCCTGCCTCCGGTGGTTTCTTCTTCTCCTTCGATGGCTTGCTCGCAAAATATTTGATATATAGTCTGTTGAATTGTTCGAGGAAAATAAAAGTAAGGACAGTGTGCGGACCAAGTCTCATATAATATGGAGTTATACCTTTCCAAAACGCAAACACTCCTTCATTTCTCACTATCTGTAAAAATAGATTTTTGATATTCAGATAATCAAGAGATCAGAAAAAGAATCCATACTTCACTGGGAAACTCATGCTAGTAGAGTGCTTTTGAAAAAATCTTATGAAGACTTATGCCATACGAATATGCGATAGAGCCTTTCTATAGTGTGTGCCCTGGCAAGCTTCCATAGGTACCTCTACCGCAGAGCACTTTTTCTTCAACGCGCCTTCCGTTTCAACTTCTAATAAAAGTTTTTTGCTTATCACTCTTGTTTATTATTGTTACTTCGTAATCTCTTCGTATGCAAGCGATCCACGATCAGCGATTAGCCGATATAGAATTATACATGTCAAATAGTTATAAGGGCTTTTGTTTTTTTCGACACTTGAAAATTGAGTATATTTTGGTAAAACATTCCTTTGAATGTTTTCCGTTCAGGATAAGCTTGTCTTTCAGATCTATTCTGTGATTCTAAATCAAGGTAAATGCTTACATTAGGTCAGTAAGGTTTTGTTTGTACATGTGTCCATTTAGACTTAGGGCCGCATGCACTAACATCCCCGCGGGGAGGGGATCGCAGCTCAAAAGAAAGCGTCATATCCTGAAGCTCCAGATATCTAGATTTCACGCTGTCTACCTGCTACTATCCTTCACTACGAACATATTGAACAGGAGCGAGAAACTGTACAAGCCGCAGTTTCCAGCATTTGATGATCCCTGATGATCCCCGGCGCTTTTTTTAAAGTCATTTTTTCTCCAAAGTTAACGAAAACTTTCCAAAGTTGTGCAGATTATCTAACCCAACACTGTTTAGCATGTTGCTGATAAGAACAAGTGATGTATCGGAGTCATGAAATTTGCGATGAGCCACAAGTCGAAAGTTGTAGTTTATCAACAAAATTTTTCGATTTTTCAAAAACTCATTTGTTCTCATCAGTAACATGCTTAGCACTGTTGTATTAGATAATTAGTACAACTTTGGAAGGTTTTCGTTAACTTCAAAGAAAGAAAAATGACTTTAAAAAAAAAGCGCTGGGGATCGTCAGGGATCATACAAAAGCTGGAAAATGCGGCTTGTACAGCTTCTCGCTCCTGTTCAATATGTTCATAGTGGAGGATAGTAGGAATACTTGCGGACAGATAGACAGCGTGAAATCTAGACATTTGGAGCTTCAGAATATGAAGCTTTCTTCTGACCTGCGATCCCCTCCCCAGCGGGGTCGTTAGTGCATGCGGTCCTTAAACTATATGAATCTTTTACCACAGAAGATGCACCACCCCGGTGAGCGTCGCATGT